AGGTTGAAAGGACAGTGATGTCAGATGAAAGTGCAGCATCTGTTTAAAAATTTCTAGCACTGTCTCCCGTAAAATGCTGAATTTTGATTTGGAAGCAGTTTTTAACATTGTCCTAAAAGATTTGGGATAGCTCTGGCTTTTATTAATTTCATCATTAATATGTGTGTGGTTTTCTGTTTTTCAGACGTTTCATGAATCACGTTTTCTGCATATGTGGGCTGCCCTATACACCCTCTTTTATTGTTGCAAGCCGTCCCAGTAAAGACTTGCAGCAATGCCATATTTCTCCCCCTGTGAACACAGGTTATTTCAAGCTTTTGTCAGTGGCAACCACTCTTATGCAGCAACTGGTTTTGGAGTGCTCCCTGATGTCAGTACCACCTGGATGTGGACCTTTGCTACCTGTAATAATACCAGTGGCCTCATTTGCTGTATCATTACAATTTGGCTTCTTATGTTAATAAGTTTGAAAAAGTAAAGGATTAAAGCTGGTGTTCTAGAAGTTGCCCTTCACTGGTTGTGTAAATAAAAATGTAGAATGACACTTCTGACTGAAGTTAGTGTGGTTTTCATAACTGTGCACTACAACAAGGCTGTAATCACAGTTGAATTAGAATGTAATCCCAGGACAATTTTAAGCAAATAGCCCACAGTACTGCCTGTGAAATAGTGAAGGAGGGCATTTCTGTAATCCATGACTTTTTTGGGGGTTAAGAATGGGTTTATATGATTTCTCATTTTTGTAGTTTTTATTTATTCTATCCGTCTTTAACAAATGTTTATTGCTGCAATTTTTCAGTGTATCATTGTTTTACTGCCCTTGTAGTACTGGAATTTAGTTGGAAGAATAAAACATTTACTTCTAATATGTTTGTTTTTAATATGCAGGTGGAACTTTGCTGTGTATGAATAAACTTACATCCGAGTGTTTAAATGAAAACGTTATTTACTAGCAAGTATGGGGTGGGTCAGAATTTTAGAAGAGGTGGATGGAAATCTTGTCTAATTCTTCAGAGGCTAAGAAGTCTCTTAATTTGCATATATTGCTTCCAGTTGTGGAAGCATGTTTTTTTTTATATAGCTGACAAGAAATTATTCATTTAGCATATTGCAGCTGACTCATAAATCTGAAGGGAGAAGAGCATAGCTGTTTTAAGTGGCTTGTCAAAGGAAATCTGTTCATGATAGACCAAGCACTTGCACCACAAGTCAGAACTACAAAGGTATTGGAAGAGCTGAAGGTGTATAATCTTTGTGTTTTGGGTTTAGGAGTTTGCTGCCAGATATGTTCAGCTGTTTTCAGACTGCTGTATCAGTGTTGATTGAGGATGTCTGTATAATTCTTAGTATCAGTGTGATTTACTGAAAACTCATTACATGGTAAGTCCAGATCTGTGTGTTATCGGTAGAATAACTACTTTTCAAATGACTTGGATTACCTGCTTTGGGGACTTGGAACAGTTTTAAAGCAATCTTTTCATTAAACTGTACTCCTTTCTAAATTTAACTTACTGCCTGTCAGCTTCTGGTTACATAGAAGTCTTTTATATCATATAGTTTGTACCATTTCAACTACATGGAGAAAAGTTTTAGTGGAAGTGTAATTGAAACTTCAGCTGGTGATGTTTTAAGATTTCAGGGAAACCATGCCTTTAATTCTTATGAACTTTGATTTACAAGTAGTGAGACTAGAGGTTCAGAATTATGCACATAGGTACAGTATCTGAGTACTCTTGTCTGCTTGCCCGAAATCTGTCTTCCCTCAATATTGGGATTATTTTTTCTATTTTACCAAAATTTTAGAAACAGAAAATCTCAGCTAGGTCATCATTTCAGGTCTTCTGTTGCTGAAGACAAAAACCGGACAGAAATAAGGAGCTCTAATTTTCGTTGTCTGCCTCTGGAGTTCTCAGCCCCTTTCCTCCTTGCTCCCCATTTTAGGGCTTCATTCTTTTGTTAAACTTGCCAGTGTAGGAGAGCACACTTTTGCTTCTAGGTGGACCACTACATGAATTCCAGCATCCTGATGCATCTCCTATAGTGTGTTCCAGAAGATCCTTGTTCTGACTTGATAGAAATATGTGTGTCTCTTAATGATAATCTGAGACTGGAGCAGACGTAAGACACCAGCCAGTGTGATTGTCTCTGTACCTCAGCTGATCTTATCCTTTGACATACTAAGAGTTGCTCTGAATAAAAAGGGATGTCATGTTTAGCACCCAGTCACTCCTGTGCTGCTCCCAATTAATACGTAATAAACAGTCTTCTGCCAGATTAACTATAATGTCACCATGGCTGTTTATGTATTGTAACTATGGCGTGCTTAATTTGTGCCTGTATTGAAAATGAAGCTGCATTCATCAGATGACTGTTTTTTTTTTTTAAGCTGCTGCTTGTACTGCCTTCAACTTCACACTAGCTGCTTTCCCTAATCTCAGTGCTTTTACTGTGACTGTCTGACATGATGAATTTTATGTGAAAGGCGTGTTCCAACAGGTGACTTTTCTTTAAGAGGAAAACATTTGGCTGCTTGGGTACCGTTCAAAAAGTATTATATGAAGTTTGGGTTCCTTGAAGAGCAGGCTGGTACCTAAAAATGTTTTGGAGAGCCTTTTCAAAGGTTTTCCGGAGGGTTTTGAGTGAAGCAGAAATGGGTAAGCTTCAGTAAACACTGAATTCTTTGCCCTGCACTTTTTAGTGGCCACATTGAGAATACCGTTTCTATTTATAGGGAGCTGGAGTCTGTCCAAAAGCAAAGCAAGTTGGACGGTTGGTTTCACTTCATTAAGTTGCAAGTAAAGATTTTGGTTAACCTATTTTTAAGTCATCAGTGTATAAATTCTTTTCAAGCAGATCTGTTATTGTAAACTTAAAAAGCAGCATATACATCCTGACAGACTGTGTGCATGTTGATTCTTGTATCTAGATATGAAAGGGTATAACTGTAATACTAGTTAGCATTTTTCAAGGCTGAAAAGGGAAGTTTCAAGTCAGCCTGTGTGCTGATGTTTGAGATCTGCCTGTGACTAGCTCTTGTACTGATCTCTGAAAAGCAGCGAAACCATTATCAGATTCTAGTTAGAAGCTATGTTTTGTGACAGCTCACTCCATTTGCAAGTTGGGAAGTGGGAAGGATTAGCTGTGTAATCCACGGTCGGGAGGAAGAAAAATGAGGTTGATAGTGTATTAAGAGTTTGTTCTTGTTCTGAATCATTGCTATGACCTTTGTATTGGAAGTAATTAAACATTTTTGCCACTTTCAAAATTCTCTGAGATGAAAAATATGAGAAAGAATGTTTGGCTGTAATACAGGCATCTGGTTTATTCTTATACTACACCGCTGTTGTAGGCTCCCTGAATTTCTGATAGTTTATCTTAAAGGACCGAGTTCTCACGTCCTTTTTTAGTATCTGAAACTAGTAGGGTAAAGAGGTGTCAAAGAGTAGCAAAATATTTTACGGATAATGCAGAAAATTGGTGTACCGCTTAAACAATAGGTAATTTATTTTTCAGGTGTAATTTTTAACAGTTTTGCTGGAATGTGTGGGTCTTAAAAAGCAAAATATAATTATTAATTCAGAGGTGAGGCTTTACACTGTTACAGTTTCAGCTCTAGTACCACACTGCAGACATTATTGGGGGCTTTTTTGTCATGCTCGCTTTTCACGAACATTGCAGACAGCGGGGGAGCTTTCTTGGAATATCTGCAGAAGACAGTATACGGACACTTGTAGAAACTAAATATTAAAGCTATACATCTTTTTGTGCTTTGCAGGTAAGGCTTACCGTATATATACTTCTGCTATGGCATGCAAGGTGAATTTGGGGTGTTTACAAACATCAGTAGTAAAAGCATATGAAGGGGCCAAATAATCCACTTGTGAATTGAACATTTATCTGCAAGCAGAGAAAGCTCAGTGTTAGAAGCGCCACGTGACACTTACACATCTGAAATCTCTCTGCTCTTACAGATGTTGATACAAAACTCTGCAATGTTAAACTCTTCTCAGGCACGTAGGACTCCAGACAAGTCCAGCCTATTATCAATATCAAAAAGCGTACTAGATTTGAGAGGTATGAATAGGTTTTTTTGTTTGTTTGTTTGTTTTTTTAAACTGTCCAACCTTCCTACCCTCCTTACTCAGGAAAAGTAAACTACATGGCAGTCTTTACATTATTTTAGACTATTATTTCCCTTTTATATGTTACAATTTATGAGGTGCAAGTACTGAACTAGGGATTTGATCCTGAGAAACCATATATCACATAGTAAATATAAGTGATGTTAAGCTTCAAAGTTCACTTTATTGGTTAAAGGGAAGAAAAAGCCAGTAGGTACCCGTTTTAGTACTTATTTTTAATGCTGTCTGCCCCTTTTCATAGCTTAAAAGCCATGTGCTGTTGAGGCTTGCTCTTATTTCCAAATACTTTACCCTTAAAAGGTTTAAAAGTTACAGTTGGAGTGCTGGCTCATCTTGCATCTGGGGGTGGGGGTGTAGAAAAGGGGCAGAAGGCAGGTGTGCAGAGCATTTGGCTGCACGTCCTCTTGTTGAACAGTGAGATGTTTGGCTGTTCTGCGCTTTACTTTGATTTTTCAGGTGTGTTTACAACAGAAATAGGTCAGGTTCAGAAAAGAGAGTCTGTGGAGCTGTACTGAAATTTCACATTTTCCTCACTAAACAATTTATATGCAAGATTTCCAAGGAGCAGATACTAGGGAGTTGTCCTATTTAGAGGGCTCTGGCTTGGTCTCTGGAGTTGTTTACTCCCTTTTCTTGGCAGGCATAAGAGAGGAACTAGGGTTCTTTTGCAACAGCCACACTGGGGTCCTCAAAGTCTTGTGCTGCTACTGCCTGAGTGTTTGCCATTACTATTCCCAAGTTGTATGTTTAGGCAGTATAAAGACCGATAAACTTCTCATCTTCCTCAAACTCTGAAGTTGCTTGACAACATTTGGAACTGGGCCCTTTCTTAATTAAGTACAGCAGATAGTGTTACTGTATCTTTGCCATCTACTATCTCTGCAACTAGGGCAATCACAAAAAATAATGACTAAAGTCCTTATCTTCTCTGATGATATCTAAAAATCTAACCTATCTTATATCCGTTCCTCTGTAAATATTAAGTTCTAGGGTTTTTTTTTGTAGTGGGACTTACCCATGTCCTATTACAGCAGATCTGCTGTTATGTAAATGATTCACCATTCAGAGCTCCAGGCTGCAGTTTTCTACTGTGCTTTTTAGTGTTTTATGAGGAGCAAGTCTAAAGTTGCAGGCAGGTGTGCCAATGCAACTAAGCAGAAGCATCTGGAATCTAGTGACAGCTGAACACAACACACTGAACACAGCATTTAAATCCCTCAGGAAGGTCTGTAATACTCCACTCAGCTGAGGCAGGCTGGGAGGTTTTTTTTGGAGGTGAATGGTTTCCTAGAGTTAACTAGGAGCAATTAGTATTTGCTTTTTTTCTTTGCGTAGGCTAGGATGCATAAAGTCTGAATACTTTTCTCTAACTGTAACCCTTTACTAAGTGATAAGACTGACTTAAGTCCCCACCCATCCATACTGCTGAAATACACATCCTGCAGCCCTCAAGGCAGTTTATCAAAGTATGGCAGATGTATACGTCGTTCTGGAGGGAATACAGCTTTTTCCATGGTTGGAAAACACGGATATAGGGCATCAGCAGAAACACATTTGCTCTCTGAGCCGAGTCTGTAAAAGCTGCAGTGTCGCTTTTAAATGTCAGTTAAATAAATAAAAATTTTTAAAAAGCCGCTTGACAATCCAGGAAGCAGAAGAACGTGGCTGTAATCAGGTGTAGACTTTCCTTAACACAGCCTGTGCTCCCTTGGGAGCCCAGTACTCCAGGGATGCCTGTGGATTTTCCAGCTCTTTTGCACAGCACTTTGCCTTTGTGGCTTACGTTGCAGTATCAGGAAATGATCTTTGGCTGACCGTTGACAAGGAATAGCAGATCTTTGGCTCCTTCCTGACTAAACAACCTGACTAAACATCCATAAGCAGCTGCGAGCCATTCCAGTCCTGTTCCTACAACCAGTACAGAACTGGTAACCTGCAGTCAGGTATAGACACTGCTCCATAGAAACTCATCTGGAAGGTGCTAACACTGTGAGCAGCATGTTCTTGTTGCACCGGGCACAAATGGCTTAGAAGGTTCTGTCCATCAAAAGCAGAAATTTTCACATAAGAGCTGTCAGCTACACAGTGTTTTAACACTGTCAACCACCAACTGCTTTATTCTCATGTAGCTGTTTCCCTTGTCCTACTGTACAACACCCGTCCTGAAAGAGAAAAGCAGTTACTCCCAGTGCCATGTTCTCATTTAGCCTATGCTGACATAAATTCCACTGGCAGCAAATTTGGCTAGTACTAACTAGTTAACTATGAAAAGGGAACAGTTTTAACAGTGTTTTAAAACTGCAAAAGCAAAGGGCATAAACATGTATCTTCAAAACTACTGTCCCTTTGTCCTCATGAACAATCCTTTAAGGGTTCTGTGACCAGGACTGGTTTGTGGGTAAAACACTAGTTACTTTGCAAAGTATGTTGTTGATGCTGAACATGGAAGTTTACCATCTCTTTTTGTAGCATAGTAGGTTGATTTATTTTTAAATGTTCAAGGAGCCGGAAGGCATTTTGTAACGATGACTCAAATCCCATCAGATTATGAGCAAATTAACAATATTGCTTCATCATTTCTGTAGCTTACATATCCAGTGTTCTCATGTTGCCTTGGTAGCTGGAATTATATCAATATAGTCTTAACTATCACACAAAGATTAAAAACTGGTAGAGCAAGCATATTTGAAACATGAGTAGTGACAGAGCAGTAAATCATATATGGAGGCTATTTTACAAAAAAAAAAAAAAAGAGGTAGCATTTTTTTTTAACAGTTCATCAAGGCAATCAGAATACATCTTATAACAGTCAGCCGTCTTTGCATACTGAGTCAAAGTCAGTATTACCAAAAACTAGTTTAGTGAGAACAAACCCATTGCACCGTGTTATAAAGAGCCTATTTATTAAAATTTTGGAGGTGCACACATAACATCTCTGTGGTCTTCCTTTATTGGCCACTTAACAGCCTCCCCATGTCAACCTTGCCACATGATCAGTTTTCTGTTTGCTGGGCTTTACGAAGCCTAGGAGTTCCAGTTCTGAAACAGCTCGAATAAAACGAGCACTGGAGACGTCAGTAAAGGAAACTGCACATGCATTTTATGACATGAATTGCTGCAAACACCATTCTCTCTAGGAGGGAAGATTTTTAAGTCACGGTGGAGGCAGATTACACAAAATGTTGAGTCGAACACTAAAACCATGAGAAATAAGGGCAGAGCATGGCTTAGGGCCTACAGAAACACTAGTACTCAATCTAATCGGTATTTCTCCTGCTACCTGCATACAGTGTGTCAGGTAATAATTCCTTTTATCACTGCTAAGAAAAGCTTAAAGCCTACAAAGATACGAATTTTGCAGTCTCTCAGAGCAAGAAAGAATTTTGGCTTTTAGGCCCCTTGACAAGAAAATGGGAAGAGAGATAAACGGATTTTTTTTTTTTTTGAGGTTTTGCTGCCACCTTCTCTTTACTCACTACTCACTGTACCTTTCTTGCTGCGTTCCTGACACAAAGCTCTACATTTGTGAGTTAAAGAGATAATTTAGTTTTGTGTTAACTACCAGTGGACCTTGTAAAAAAGGAAAGGCCTTATACTAAAGGCAAAATAGGTATAGCTACATAGTACATAAATATTCTTCCTGTAGTTAAACCTCCTTTTGCAGAATTACTCAGCTCTTCTCTGTAGCAGGAATACTATTATTGCTGGAGTCAGTTCTCAATGCACAGGAGGATGCATTTCAAAAATCCCGGTTCGCTAACCCTGTAAGCATTTGAATGATAAATACATTTAAGAGAAAAATAAGAAAGGATACTGGATAATGTCATCCACCTGGTCCGAGGCAGCTGCATCTGCATTTGGTCCCTCAACTGCCATCACCACAGTTGAGAAGGCCTAGAAAGGGAAAAGCAGCACAGGTGATAGGTCGAATACATTTCACAAACAGGTAGAGCTGCATATAAAATGATAAGCTCCAAGCTGATCATTATCACTTAGGAGGAACGAGCTCTTGGAATGAGGTTAACTCCATGCAAGTGTCAAAAGAAGCAAGCAAGAAAGAACAAGCAAGGTTAGGTGTTACCAGGGGAGGAGCGCAGAATGGAAGAGTTCACAGAGCGATGTTCTTTCTTTACGTGCCTGCGTTTTACATGCTGACACAGTTCTGTTCCCTGACCTGTTCTCAGGAGGAATATAGAACTGAAAAATCTTCGCAAAATGAGACTGTTTAGTCTGGAAAATGAAGATAAGTGAGCTGTGAAGAGGCCTATAAAATTCTGAGTAACATGAAGAGGCTGGAGAGGGATCTGCTGTCCACTTTCTTTTCCAATACACAAACAAGGTAGCAACAAAGTGTACTCAGAACAAGGAACAAGAGAGGGTTCTCTACGCTGCATGTAATTAAGCTACAGAATTCCTTCCCACAGGATGCTGTGGTTGCTAAAAAATTACACTGGTAATGTAATCCAGTTAGGCTTATAAAATACAGAGAAACTATTCTGGTTTAGGAATTTTTAGACCTTAAACACGGTTGGTTAGCTGAGGAGTATTTGCAAAATGTATCATGTATGTGCATATCCTGTTCTTATACTCTCTTTCTGCTGTCGGTCACAGTAAGAGACGGGATAGTGGGCTGGAAGAACTTGGGGCTGGGCTAGGGCTCTTCCCTAGCAGAAGCATTCTGCCCAAGAGCCCCACGCTTCAGTAACAGCACTCGCTGTTTCCGTTGAAGCGTCACACAAGAGTTAAAGGGGAAGAAGGTAGCTTTGTGAGGCATAAAATCTGATCTGCACTGAACACAAGATAAAAGCAGAAGCAAAGATTTTCATCGTAGAGTAATAATGCATGTAATAAATGATTCACAGTAGCCACAGAAAAGACTCTATAGGCTGGTGATCTGGAGATACTGTGTGTGCTTGCAGAGGAGGGACTGAGGTATGCAATTACTTCAGCTGTCCAAAGGGGCACTGAAGAAAAGCAGACATGCTGAAAAAAACATAAATCAGTAAAGTACTGAAAGCAGTATTAGGCACTGTTTACATTGTCACATACCTCTAACCAATCAACAAGATTGATTAATCTGCCACACTCCAAATGAAGCTTATACGCTATGCATATGTCAGGGGCTTTGTTAGAAATGGATCCTCCGTCACTTTTCAAAGCTTGATTCTGATGAAAAGATAGAACACAAAGACAGTAACTTTGATCAGCTTTTAATCTTGAACAGTCTCTAGGGCTAGATATCACATTACTTCAGGAAATTCACAGCTAGTTTTGTAACCAAGTATTTACTGTTTGTGTGTTTAATGGCGGAAAAGGTTGATGGTGCAAAAAAAAAAAAAAAAAAAAAAAAAGGCACCACAATCACCAGAAAAATAATAAAACATATCATTCAAAAAGAGAAAAAAACCCAGCTACTTCACTCCTAGTTTTTGCTGTACAATTTAAGCTTCTCTAGTCTGCATTTTTTCTGTTTTTCTACTCTATGTTTCTATTCTATAGATTTCCTATTTCTACATTTTAAGCATTCTCTATTCTCTATTCTAGTGGTAGTGCTCATCTGATTAGGCTTTTCCCATTTCTCTTGCTAGTTCTATTTACATATCGGAGAAATATTCTGTTCTACAGATTCAAGAAAAAAAATCAAGATTTTGTCTCTGCTTTTACTGTAGAGTAAACAGAAGAGAGTGTCATCTTCCTCCCCCCACAAAAAGAACGAGGAAGTGTCTGCATAGATCTGTAATGTGTACTAAGAAGTATAATTGCTTCTCTCATCTCAGAGCTTTATCTTTAAAATGTAAAAATCATTCATCTCTGGCTTGAAAACCAGCACCTGTAAGGCAAAAATCTAATTTTTCCACAAACTATTCTCTGTGTCAGGAAATCCTGGTTGTCAGCACCTGTACCATTTACTTCAGCAATAAAAAAGCCACTTGAGCGAGAAACAAAAGTCTCTATTGCCACAGCAAATTATGACATTTGACTTCAGTTCCTAATTTTGTTCACAGTTTTCAGTTTCATTCACTCTAAGAAGCCAGTTCTCTTAACATGAAAACCACCACTGGTCATTGCTTTCAGTTGCTACAAGTTCTTGCTAATATGATTTTTACATGCTAATAGAATACATCAGTTATTTGCAGCGAGTTTATAAAGCCCTAGCAAGGATAGGCTATCGTAAGTGTTCCAGCATAGGAAAGAAGGCTGGGCAAAGAACTCGACTTTGTTCACACAATCTCTAGTTTACCTTTTATATAGATCAGTTCCTGCAATCTGTGAGACTGAGATTCATGTTTGGATTCTAGCATTTATGAGACATACAGTTTTCAGAAACTCAGTCTAACAATTTTCAAGTTTATATATATATTCTGTGCAAGGAACACAAAAGCTGCAGACATTAACCTAACATCTGTCAGTTCAGTCCAGATGGTCTCCAGATAAATTCACAGTTTAACATGGATAAATCCTCAAGACGTCACAATCTAGACATCCATCTACCAGACTATATGATTCCATATACTGCTGTGTAACCAGCTAGCACAGATGTAGCTACGCGTTCTGGCTCATGTAAAGGCTCACCACTGCCCAAAGGGGCAGCTGTGCACACCTTGCTTTCTCTTTTCTGCTCCGCTACTTCTCCTGACTCTGTGCTTTCCTACCACTCACCCTTGCACTAACTCTGGCACTCCTGGACACTTTGCATTGCTTTTCTCATCTTAGGCAAATGACTGTCTGCCCATTATAAGGCTGTGGTTTTAAGAAAAATAGAGGGACCATGACTTTTCCCTTTTCTGAGGCAGAAAGCTGTCAGAGCTGCCCAAGATATATCAAGATGCTTCACCCTAACCATGCCTTGCCTTCAAGGCCAGATCAGTTATCAGAGCTAAGGAAGAAAACTTCTAGTGCAACTGTATTCTCCTGGAGCAGTCTAGTCCTTAGAAATTAATATATAGCTAGACCACACGCAGATGCTGAGAATTATCCAAGAAAGATATTACTGACTGGCACTGCAGGGTCTCTGGCCAGCATCTGAAAGAATTCAGGCTTACTGGTGATAACGAGACAAAGTCTTTACAGCGTGCCCTGGGGAGCTACAGTTGTGTGCAGTGAAACCTCAGCTTCCTGTGGCAGCAGCACATGAGCTGCCCCTGACAGGAAACAGCTTCGCTGAGGAGCAGGAAGTTGCTCTAGAACAGTCGCTTGTGAAACTGCATATATAACCCAGGGGTGCTGTTTCAGAAAGAGAAGAGACTGGGAACAACCTAAAATCTGGAGAGGCTCTTTTTCTCTCCCCCCCCCCCCCCCCCCCCCAAAAAAAAAAATCCTGTTGCTCAGTATTCAACATTAGAATCTTTCCTGGAGGAACAAACACCAGCATCTTCTTTCCCTGATGTGAGAGCTTAACCGTAACTCAAAGATGTTTCTTCTGCATCAGTGAAAATACCTTCATGGATAGTAGGGTTCATTCGTTGAGCTCGAGGAACTTTCCTGCCCAAGGTCAAGAAGAATACTCGCACTGCCATCTAAACCCCAGGCAGATCCAACATTCAGATTTCTTTGTGCTGAACACAACAATACTAAGCAGTGCCTAGTTAATATACGAAGTTACAATTTCTTGGATTTTCAAGGGATCAACAAAGACAGAATTGCACTTTTTTGTACACATTTTTTTCAATATCATCCTTGTTCACATGTTGCTAAATAAATGACTAGTTTTCCCCGAGAAGTGAATCACATTATTAATCATTTGCTGGTACGCCACTGAGGCGGATCCTTTTCTACCCCAGCCTTCTGGTAGGAACAGCTCTGGAGAACTTTCTTCTGGTCATGTCCAAGAAAAGTACAAGCCATGCAGAAGTCATGGATACTGTTTAGAAAAATACTTCTTTGACTCACGTGGATTAAAATGCTGCAAAGTACTCAGCCAATACTGCTCCTATTAGAAACTATGCCAAAACCTTCACCATCTACTCAAATAGCAGCAGAACTGTGTTAAAAGAAGTCAAAGAACAAAGTGCAAGATGACAGATATAAAGGGCTTTAAGTCAACTTATTAAGGACAATACTCAGTAAACACGTTAGTAGCCAGATTTTGCTAGCTCTCCTAAACTATGTCTTTACAGGTTTTATGAAAGATAAATTACTGAGATTCATAGCAGGTCAGCTTAATGGTAGCCTGCTAAATAACTACTGTTTTGACAAATAAGTTCTTTACTTTAAATAGTTTTTAGAAGTAACGTCTATACACGCCAAAACTGACAACCCTCATTTACATAAAGAGAGGAGGCATGGCACCAACAAACCCAATACAAATTAGGTTGTAGATTGCAAAGACTGATCTTCATCAAGTACGGTTCCCGATAATTAAATGTTGGCTTTGACTCAAATAAACTCACACACAGCTATAACCAACATTTTCTTTAAAACTGCGATCGCACTATTAAGGGAAATAAGAGGGCACAAGGATGGCTCCAAGTAGCATCTCTAATCAGGAACAAAACAGAAATGTATGTTCACTTCTTCTCCAAATCCAGCTCTATTCCTTTCTTTTTTTCCAGACATCCTGAGAATTTGATATATGCAAGAAGTAGAAAAGGGTCTGCTCTCCCCACTTCTAGATAAGATGCAGGTCTAACTAACAGAATCAATGACAGTACTTTTCTTGGACTAAGAAAGGACAAGCTGTCAATACACAGATATTAACATAAAAGTTTAGCCTCCCCCACCCCCCCCCCCCCCGCAAAAAAAATCTACCCTCCTTTAAATATGCTGTATTTAATCTATTCCAAGTTTCACCACTCTGCCTGAACAGAGCCTCCACCGTAGAACAAGTCCACATAGTGAGGACTAAACACCAGTCCTGTAAAGGTAAAGTCCCTGGAAAGAGCCACAGATACTGTTTTGTTTTGTTTTCTTTTTTTTCCCTGTGTGGACACAGTCATCCCATTCATAATGGAAGACAAAAAGGCTTTTCTGCTATGTCTACAGGAGAAAAGAAAAAAAAAATCACAACTAGAATAAGCTCTGGAAAACAGCATTCCCATCCAAAACTCTTTCCATAATCAGCTTCCTCCTTTCAGCCAGACTAGCTCTTCGCAAAGTCCTCAGCTGCTTATCAACAGCAACTTGTTGGTTCCCTGCAAAACAGTTGAATGTGTGCCAAGCTTCATGAAACAGCAAAACTAAGACATGCACATCATCCTCATGTGCAGCCCTCAGGAACTGCTCCAGCACCACTTGTTTCTTACCTTCAAGTAGCAGTATGGGTTATTCAAAGCTGTGTGAAGTGCAATCCTTGGGGCAGCATTCAAGTGCTCACGCAGAGCACTGGCTGTGTTGAAATACATTATCTCATGCAGAGTCTTGTGGTCTGAAGGTGTAAGGTAATTTCTGAAAAAGCAACATGGGAGATGGGGGAAGGGGAAGGGGAGACAAGATACAAGCTTTACCTTAAGGGAAACAGTACTCCACCGCAGTCAGAAGACTACAATAATACTATGTTTCTCAACCAGCGCAGACAAATCTCTAAAAACTGAGATTAACAGCGCTGAAATCAACTTCCAAGCAGGGAAGTTAGTGATTATCAACTCCACCTCTTAGATTTAACTTAGAGCTCTCGTTGGGTCAGTGACAAATTCGAAAACAGGGACAGCAAGCTGAAACACCAACACCAGTCATCTACTCTACTCCACGGATCTTACTTATCCTTCTTGAAGTCTCCTAATGAGTCTCTGCTCATCTTTGTCTTCATACCTGAAGCTTTTTTTCTTGGCACAATCATGGTTCTGTCGGCTTTTCTGCCCCTACCCTCCCATTCTGTTCCACGCTTTCAAGGCCGCCCCAAGGCCATACAGTTAAGAAGTGCCTTCATCCCTTTTTTCCCCTCCAAGTCTTCGAAATTTTCTTCAGCAGAGCTGCTTCCAAAACCCCATCTGCTCTGCCTTGCTTGCTCAAACAGATCCCAAAATGGATATCACGCTTGACACCTATACAGTTCCATAAGCAGAACAGATCAGCAAACATTAGGGTAAAAGCTCTGACTTTATTTCACCACATACACTTAAGCCTCCCTCAACTTTATCCTGTAGCCAAAAATAAACAGGTAAATTTATGTGCCAATTCCTTGTATTAAGCTATGGAAGAGAGATTATTATTTTTAGAGATCTCATCCAAGAAGGAATAGGAAGGAGAAAAGTATGTTTCTTACTCTAAGGACTGACACTTTTGACAAGATCTCTTCCACTGTTAACCTGTTAACAAACTTTCTGTTGCAGGTTACGGTGCAGTATCAGACTAAGGGAGGAAGATAAAACAGGAACGCTCACCTTACAAGATTGTCTATAAAGTCAACAACTTCAAAACGAAGCATTTCAAACTTTGTCAGTTTCTTAGACCGCCTTGATTCCTTCAACTCCAACAAGGTCTTTAAAAAAAAGTGGTGCATAAAGCTACATGGGAGGTATTTATTCTTTGGAGAACACAAGCTATATGTTTAATATGAATAATTATTTTTTGCTGGCATGTCTTCCCTGATGATTTTGGAAGCTGTGATTGCGCAGTTATTTCTATTTAGGCCAGTGTATTCGGTCCTCAAACTGGCAGGAGCTAGGGAAATTCTTCAAGCCTCAGGCTTGAGGAAGTAAGAGTTAGGCAGGATGTGTAATTTGCAAGTTATATAAGACGAAAACCCCTAATTCACATGTTGAAATCCTAGCTTATTTCAGTCATTTTCTATCATTTTCTATGTGTCAGGTGGGCCTGACGTACATACTTGGTATTTATTCATTCATTTCTAGGAAGAGTCACTTATACACATCCTTTACTCAGAACTCCAGCAAGTAGGGAAGACCTAACGGGAGCCCTAACCATGGAAAGCTATGGCTTAAAAAGGATTTAGTTCAGCAACTAGTTAGTAAAGCCTACACAAGCCTGACCTTCTGAAGGTGATAAAGGTCTGTCTTCTTCTGGAGCTCCTTTTGTGACGATACAGATTCGTCTCGTTCTTGGCAAGCTCCTGCTAGAAGAATAAAACTAACGTTTGATATGTGGAATAAACTCTTCCTCAATATCTCTATAAACCCATTAACCCAAGCAAACGGAGAAGTGTTCAGTTACTTGTTCACACAGGATGAAGATCCGAGCACAGGCTGCTAGTAAGCAGGTAAATGATTGTTAAAAAAAAATAAAGCACCCTCCCCCTCCACAAACCAAGAGCAGCTTAAAAAATATTTAAATAAATAAATTAAAGTAATTAAGTAACTGAAGCAATTCACATCAAGACGCAAAGATCCAGAGCAAAGATCCAGCACTGGCCCTGCATATCACATGAATTCCACTTATGTCCTTATCCTAGGTTATATTTTCAACAACATTTGTATATTAGCAGATTAATATCAGATAGTCCTCAGTCTTGGTGAGAATTCAGGAAGTCACACATATAATTTGTTTCATTCGCAAAAAAAACCAAAACAGACCAAAAGTCTGCTACGCTATTTAATTGCCCAGTTTTAGTCTCATCTTAATTTATACCAAAATTTTTGTTTTCATAGCCATATAGTTTGTTGGTCAATTACTACACCAATAATTAGTGATTTTTAAGTAAAAACAAATAAACAAAAACCCTCAAAGCACAATCAATGCTAAGCGGAGTGACAAAGACTGTATCCTAACCAAAATCAGAGAAACAGGTAACTAGATTTCTTGCCTTACTTATGAAGATAATAATAAGATGACCTGCAGATCACAGGTAAAGCTCTGATCAGCAGAAACAATCATAACATATGAAAGCTGTTTGGTGACCTATGCAGAATGAGCTGGCATTTTCAGTCTAGTGCTCTGTGTAGAGGGGTCATCATCACTGAAAATCATCCCTGCAATTCACTTTCGGTATGCACAGCAAAGATCTAGCAGAAAATCGCAACAAAATTATCCCTTTCTATTCTGTAATTGGTATTTCAAAATGTATCAGTGAATAGCGTAGGACTGCAATCTGTTGCCTAGCTTCAACGTAGCGGAATCCTGATTTTATCGTGACCTTGCGGTCTTGATTCATTTTAGTAATTCCCAAATCTAGAGAAAAAATTGACTGTGGGATTGCTTCAGCTTTTATTGAAAAATAAGAAACTACTGTGTTCTAGTCCACAATATGAAGTAACTCTACCCTAAAAGCTCATAAACAGTACTAAAACAAAATTCATCACTAAACATACAAAGGCAACCTCATCTTTTTTGCTCCCGTAAAAAATTCTCAAATATCTGTTGTCAACAGCATGCGTGTATACACACATGATAGCACAAGTCTTTTATTAATAAAAGACATTTTGCCAACACAGTCACTGTTGTGAAAGAATAAAAGAACCCTGATGCTGTCAGAGTAATTCTAACAGTGAATTGAAACAAGGTTTTACAGATCTCATAAATACAGATTCGTTCAATATGAACGAATGACAAAGATTTAATAACTAGCTAAGCAGATTAAAACTGAAAAATTCATCTAACATTTATATTCACAATAAAGATTTCAAAAGAGAACTTTCCTCTCTCCAGTGTTACACTGACATATGAAACTTGAGATGTTTTTAATCTAATCCTTCAGCTCACGATAGCGTCAACAGAAGCATATTAAGTATACTTTGCTTCCCTCAGCTCCAAGTTTTGATTCCTTTAATTCATTAGGCAGTCTTGCGAAATTTTTTTTTTTTTTTTTTTTTTTTTAAGTTTTAAAGGAGATTTTAGGCTATCCCTTTACTCTAAGAGGTTCTGAGGGAGATTTTGGTACATAACATTTTTTCCACAGACTTCTGAAAACTTCTGCTAAAGGTCAACACCACAGAAACATACAGGAACAAGTCACTTGACTCAGCAATCTATTCATTTCAAGTTTATCTTAATTTTCCCTTCTTATTGTTGATTACACCCTCCAGTCCCTCTGAAAACAGACTTAAAATCATTCATGAACTCATTAGGCCTTTTTTGCTTTAACAAGTATCCTCAAAATCCTAATTTAAAATAAATACTGCCTCTTGTTTTGTATTGCTGCACGTCCCTGATTTTTTAAAAGGTTTTCCATCATAGTTCAGATTCTTCCGTACCAATATCTTCACTGACAGATACAGCTTTTTCAAAGCAATCACTACGTTCCTACACCACAGTGGAGATATTACTACATCCGTTTACTGCTGCTATATAGTACAGATAAGTAACACTATCATTTGTACTATAGATTTTATAGTACCTAATAGCTATCTCGCTAGCTGTTACTGAAATCATGTAGTGATTCGAGCTGTAATGATTTCTTCTTAATAAGCCTCAACTATCCCAGAGTGCTACATGACTACTTTTAATACCAGACTACGTTTGATGGCTTATTGCCTACTTGTCTAAATACAGGCTAGCATCCACAGCCAGCAATGAACTTCATTTCATACACATAAATCAGATCAGGTGATAGCCACTTCATGTTCAGAACAGAAAGGTGGGACGGCACTTCTTAATCCAACAGAGCAAGTCACTTTCAGAAGGAATATAGCAGTTTCTGTAAATCAGCCACTGAAAGAAGGAAGGCAGTCGCTCATCTGCCTTCTTAAACTTTCCAGTTCATCCCCTACAGTGGTTTAACAAGTCACAGCACGTCACAGAGCTCTGAAAACTGATGCTGTGTATGCACTCTTAGCACATACTAAGCGTAGCTTAAACAACTTCAGGATTTATACACGTACGTTCTACTTTCTAACAGTCAACTGCCACACCACAGCTGTTGCACAGAATCCTACTGAGAGCTAGGGGGGTCCTACCTCTTAGCGGAATCTGACTGAAGGTGTGGGTGAACATCTCTGTTTACATTCAGATTCAATATCATAAGAAAGTCTGCTCCTATTAATATTTCAATATCTGTTTCTATTTGTTAAATATGCTTAATGACTGCAGCATCTGGTAAAATGCTGAAAAATAACGTACGACAGAATTAGTAAGTAACGTTTGCTGGTCTGTTCAATTTCTTGTCTTACGTTATTCTTCCGTACTAGAAAAAGCACAAACCATGTATCAGTAAAGCATATAAGCATTTCCTCGTTTTTTGCATGTACTTAAAAACAATCCTGAAATATCAAAGGGTCAATCAAACCCTTAGATTTTTTGATAGGGAAAGTGATAGCCATTGGTCAGATGGCAGATTATCTGAAAGCTGTTCTATAACGGATTGTATGATGATGCACACTTACCTTCCAGTTTCTGAAACTCGGCCAAGAACTCCTTCAATTTCTCTACCGCCTTATCAAACTCTTTCCCAGAAGATGACACAAAAATCTCCACACACTTTTCAAGCACGGTTACCAAGTCAGACTTATTCAACATTCTAAAAGACACAATTGTTGGATGAAGTACAGTATCTTTTAAAGTGCCTCACAGGAAAAAAAAAATAGTTAAAAGTAATTTGAAAAACTCCTTTTAAAAAGGGAAAATAACCTCTAAGTTTTCTTCAAGCGTCAAGTCTTGCTGAAATACTTTTTTTCCTTGCTGTCATTAACTACAAAGCAAGATCAACCTGGACAGGAGTAGATGTTTTTCACTTTTTCTACAGAACTGACAATCAAAACTTTTCTGATACTCCTAGCTAAAAACCACTTGCTGGATATAGAGAGTTCTGGTTTTTGAAACTGCAAGGTGGAGTTCAAAACAACCACCTCCCCCCCTTCCCCAAACAAACAAACCAACCAACCAATCCCAAAAACAAAGAAAGAGAGAATGGTACAGTTCATAATTCATCCCCAAGAAGACGAGCAAATGATAAAATTGGATTAGTAAATATTCACACATTCACAACATTCTCTACTCTGGGATTCAGAATGAGTTCTTGAAAATGCAAGTTATTCCTTTCTGCATTTAACTAATATAAAACTATCCAGCACTAGCACTTACTTAAGTTTTAATTGTGTATTATAACATTTTATAAACGTCACCAGGTATTGCTCAGGCTCAGCATTTTCATTCAAAAGATATCAAGGCAAGTCCTTGCAAATATCCATAAACGAACTCCAGAATTATGGTCACCGTATCAAGTCTGGACTTTACACATGCCTGTCATGATTTTCATGCAATGCCAGAGATTCCAATCGATAAACACTGTGGTTCTAAATGACAATCGCACGTTTGCAAGAGCACCGTTATTAAAAGCCCTACTTAGGCCGTTCAGTTGCGGTTTTGCTTGCTTGGCCTTTATAAAACACAAGGCAGAGGTGCTAACAGTTTAAGGGTTTCAGAAGGTATCAGAAGAGGGATACACAAAAAAGGGACCATGAGAAAACAACGACACGACAACAATCCATGTATCAGGTAGTGGGTCTCAGCATATGAGGTGCCTAAACATTAAGAAAATTTTGAGGAATTTAGAAGAGGAGATTGAGGAAGCTTTGTGGATGTCTGGAGGAGTAGTCTTGAAATTGGAGCTCTGAACCCTGAGTGGCAGTTGATGTTAAACGCTTGTAAATGCTAAGATTTGAAAGTTCAGTCTATCTGATGATCGGACATGGATTCTTGCGAGTCAAGCGTTGCTTTCACATACATTTGTTTTGTGCAGAAAAACTGCAGAAGATAACAACAGAAAGGGTGACCTTGACCACAAAAGAGGATAGAAAACATTTTTGCAACTGTCTTGTAAATGATAATGGATAGAGAAGATTGTTTTCTTCCAGGCCAGAGAAAACAATATTGCAGTAGTTAAACATGTAAGAGGGAGAGAGGATGACAAGACTTCAAGCTATGCGAGTAGAAAAGAATTAACTTATTTTAGTATCATTACTCAAAAAGAATCTGCAAGTTCTAGATGCGTCCTGGATGAAAGAACCTAGAGAAGAACGTATTTAAGATCACATCCAAAAACAATAGGTAAGATGATGACGCTGCACACAATTATCCAAAATGCAGAAGCAGGGGAAACAGTAAACAATCCCTTTCAGCCTTCTGGGCTGGAGGTGATTGCAAGGTATTCAAAGTATCAGAGAGAAAGGCCAAAACACTAATTTCTTTAGGAGACAGGCTTAAAAAGCAGAAAAGAAGATCTCAGATCATCCAGAGACAGTCACTACATTTGTCCCTCTGATGCATATTATTCAGAGATAAGTTATGAGAGGCAAGAAGAAAGGAAGCAAGGATGAAGAGTTTGGAGAAACCCCTTCAGAATGCTGAAGGAGGGATCATCTGAAGTAGTTATAAAAGAGGAAAGTGAACAACAAAATGACAACAGTCATGGAAAGATAAGATGGTAGGAAGCCGTATGTGACTGATAACAGATAATTAGCAGTCAAAAATAGTGAATACAGTATCTAGACAGAAGAGAATAGGTCAGACTATCTTCAAATTTTTGCCACCTAAAATCTTGGCCAGATCACCAAGCAAGTTCAGTCCTTATGGTCAATGAGGTGAGACAGTCTCCAGCATCTCTTAACATCTATCTTCTGACTGGATTAATTGCCCTTTAAAGCTCACACACTCCCCTTCTCCCAATAATACTTTTTCTAGCTTAAAGTAGAATAACTACTTTTTTAGGATGCTCAAGTTAGATCAGCTGAAGCGTCATCTTTGGAGAAAGCTCCTTTAGCAGAATACAAGGGACAAAAGGCAATCCAAGGAAAAGCTGAGGTAGACTAAAAGAAAGGAACTTGGGTCAACAACTGTAAACATCATGTCCAAACATAATTCATGAAAGGCAGAAGAGAGACTTAGCAAAAAAAAAGGGGAGAAGTAAGCTGATCAAGAGCTTTTTTAAATTATTTTTTTACTTCTCAAGCGCAAGGAAAAAAAGATGGACTCCAGAAAACATCAAAAAGAAAAATTAGGGAAGGGGAAGGGTTAGCATAACACGTATCAATAGGCGACAGTGTCACTGGGAAGGCAGAGGTATTAACGAACAGTCAGTAACTGTCGTATCTGAGCAAAGGGAAAAAGGAGGATTTTGAGTGGAAGGGGAAAGATGACATTATAAATTTTCTTCTAAAAGATAGCAGCAAGATCCTATGCAGAGAAAGCAGAGACAAGAGGAAGTTCATGTAAAAGCAAAAAGCTGTAAAATTACCTTGGGTGGGGGGGGGGGGGGGGGGACACCCTGCAGCTAGAATCCCATTGATGGAACATCTGATGGAATCATGCTGAAGGAATTATTTAGTTAAAAAATGACAGAATTGATGGGGGCAGGAGAGGGAAGGGGGGGAAAAAAAAAAAAGAGTTATCTATTAAAGAAATCACCCCGATCCCTGGCTTCCTACCAGAAGTTCCCTGCAGTGTGAGCCAGCACCAGAGAAAAAGCAGGCAGATGAACAGGTAAGAAGAATAAAGGGGGAGGCAAGCCAGAAGTTAATGGCAGCATTAACCTTGAGATAGGAGAAGCATAAGAGTTCATGGTGTAGGAAAGTTACTCAAATATAGAAGAAAAAGGAGAGAAAAAGTGACTGAGAGTTTATTAGAGATGGTAGAACAGACAGTGCAGGAAAGCACAATGACAGATTTGTGGGAAGGGCTGATGGGTGATTGAGTGATGCCATGATTCAAGAGAGTCAGAAAAGAACTCAGAAGAAATAATGCAGAAATGACAACTCAAGCAAGTAAGTCTGTCAAAGGGATGAGTGTTTAAAAAAAAGAGTACAGTGAAGTGGCAGTGCAGGAGAACAACTCAGTATGGCAAAGGCACAGTTTGGGGAGTATGCTTCTTTATGTATATGAGCCCAGAAAGTCATCCTGCACAGTCATCCTGCACCTCCCATTGACATGTTTTTTCCATTCAGTTTTACTGTCAGAGACATTAAACCTCACACACACAGAGACTGACGGGGCACTGTTGTGTCAACTCCTTGTATGCCAGAACCAATGTATTATTTGAATGGACGCATCAAGTAGTAGTCAGCTGCCATAATAAAACGTGTGTAAAAGTTTGTAGCTGCAACATTGCAACTGAAGGGTTTTCCATTAAGAAAACTGGCTGAGATGATTTTACTGACAGATAACTGTAGCGTACCTTCTCCTAAAGTCCTAAGCTCACAATAGCAGCAGCAATTAACTCAGCCCTAGTACATACTGGGAGGCAAGTTTGCAGGGAAAAAATAAATAAATAAAACAATGAAAAAGAGTGAAATAAATAAGAAAGGCCTCAGCTATTCATTTGGAATAGATTATAATTTTCGAAATACGGCAAAACGTAGGCCAACAAGAACTAATAATTTGATTGATAAACTGCTAATAAAAAGGATTTTATAAAAACATAGCACAGAAATACATTAAAAGAAGATCTAACACAATCATGTTTTAAAAGACATTTAAGAATTGTTTTTTTAAAGTGGCTTGCCAAGTCCAACTGATGTTCTCACTCATGCAAAGTAATCTCAATGGTTCCAACAGAATTACTCTGCATAAGAGATATTAGAATTTGACTGGGTTCCACTGAAAAGAGTTGAAATACAAAATAAAAACAGCAGTCGGTTATACTTGCAAACAATCCTACAATTAGCTGCAAAGCTTCCAAGCAGTGTTTTCACTTCAAAGTTCTAGAACAACAGATGACTGATATTCTACACCTCTACAGTGGTGTTAAAACAAAAGAGAAAATAAGAAAAAAAAAATCACCTTGCTAGCTGAAGAGATGACTCATACTCTTCTGTCTCCCACACTCTGTTTTCCAAACATGCACAGTGCAGCTCCCTGATCTGTTACCCAGCAGGTGAAGAAAGGACAACATGTTTTAGCAACAAAGCAATGGGCAACTCTTAACAAAAAGCTTTTCAAAGTACTACGTAATTCCTTTGGAGCTTGCTTCCCAGAGATGCAGAATGACTGCAACAGAAATCGAGAGCATTTAGTATCTTGCTGAACTGAGTTCCCAATATAGCTGGATTAGGTGTGTTGCTTTGCACCAGGTTTCAAACAATGAACACTCAGATGAAGATAAAGGCAAAGGCCAGAAAGGGACTTAAATCAAAAGCCCCAATTCAAACATCTTTTTATTCTCAAATACTGGCACAGTTCACACTGATTTTACAGTTAAGGACAAACTCTAATAACAGTGTGTAATACATTGAGAATTAACAGACAAATGAACCTGCACAGAATACACTGTTCTATTAATGGAAGAAGAAATTGCTTAGTCTGAGGAGGTGGATTTAATGATCTAAGAGCACTTTGGCTATCAAGAACAATTATCACTGTCCCCTTACTGTCATTTTATTCTGTACAGAGGCTTGTTAAATCTCAATCTTAACATCTGAATTTGACTAACAAGCTGATAGGTAGTAGGAAGGGTATACATAGTCTGCAATGCGCACAGAAAATTCCAGATGTGGGAAGGTCAACCGGCAGAGCGGGAGAGTCAACCCACAGAAACTCTTGCTGATCTGTGCATCTGCTGCCTCCTACAAATTCTTTGCTGCTGAATGAGAACAAGGTATGATCCATGCCACGGCAGAAGCCGTTCCCCTGTCCTTAATAGGAATCTATCTGCCTCCATTTGGGAGGTAGGGGACAAGCAGCAGAATAGCAGAAAAAAAAAGTATTGAGATGTCATACTCTGAAACAAAAACGCATGTCTCACTCAAATGGAGTAACAATACTTCACCTGTTTGCCCAAAGGGTACTTTGGAAGAGAAGATGTGAAAACATGAAGGCATCTCAGAACGGGAACATAATTTTCATGGTAAACGTGCAAGTCCTCCAGTAACTTCTGTATTACTTCCTATAGTAACAGAATAATTGTTTTAAGTCATTCTGACATCCATTTACTTAAAACTATCACAAAGTACCTAAAATTACTCTGAGGTTCTATCTGGTGTGCTGTGATTTAAATCACCAGTGTTAATTTAAGACTACTATGCAGAAAAACTTTATTTCAACAGTTCATTGTAATCATATTGCATCTTTTTAACTTTACTTTCTTCCTCTATCTTACTGAAAAATTGTGATTGATTAGTATTATTATTTTATCATTTTCAACTATATTTAGCCTTTGCATTTGGTATTTCTGAAAATAAGATGACAAGATCACACCTCTGATATGCACTGAGAAATTATATAGCTACGTTTATTCAAATCTTTTATTTGCATTTTTATATTACAAATGCATTAAAAAAGTATTTCTTATATCGCGAGCGACTGCTGTTTTTTGTTAGCTAAAAGCGTACATAAAAAGACCAGTTCAAACAGAATCTGCAGCTGCTGCTTTTACGCTCTCTTAATTTGACTTCTATTTGCTCACATATGAGAATTCAGGCAAAAAAAAATCATGCATTAGAAAAAAATTACTAATCATTGCTACTGAATTTACAAGATTGCATCTCATTATCATGGGCCTCCTACAGATTTCAAAGGAAGCATATGTGACACCCTTCTGGAAAAATCCCATTGGAAATTACTGGCATCTTTAAGGTATTTAAATGTATTAAAGTATTTTGAGCTCATTACATTCAAGTGTCTGAATCAGATCATCTTCTCTCACCTGACTTTAGTCAAAGACTGAGAGAGGAAAACAAGATTTGCGACATTTCTTACTGCCATTTCCTCAGCTCTAAGCAAACTGGTCCAAATAGAAAGACAGAAACAAAACATAAGCCACTAACGTCCTCTAAAGTTAAACTGAAACTAAGGGCAGAGATAAAAAAGTACAACCTTGTCTGCAGGCTATAAAAAGAAGTACTGACATGTGGAAAAAAACGTACGTATCACTTAAATTGTTACTCAGACTGCAAAGACTGAAAGTAACGGAGCTACTTAATTCTGTAGGGAGCTTTCTGATATGTTAAAGAAGTTTGAGATGATTTAAAATATTAAAGATATTTCTCCCCATAGCCTTTTTATTCATTAAAATTTAAGGGTCGCTGATATAGCTTATTTAAATGACTTCCGAGACCTTAGGATAGGCACTTATATGTTCATATTTTAATTTTAAGCAGGATCATGAGGGGGGGAAAAAAAAAAAAAAGTCATCCATACTATGAAAAAGCTGAAGGAAGACGACAAGTTCTGTTTAACGAAATGCTGCCAAAGCAATCTCATTCTCCCAAAGCCAGCGCATGATAGCAACTGTATTTCCCTCATCTTGTTCCCAGATCAAGACTAATGTAGTTTCTAAATATATACATATATATATACATGTATAATGTATGTATACACACACATGTATATAAATAAATGGAAAAGAAGTAGGACTACGTAATTTGCCAAATAACAAAATGGAAAGGCATTATTCTGTTTTTCTCCTTAATTCTGTTTTAGAAGAGGTTGAAAATATCATTAAAAGACTACATAATATTCTTCCTAAAAATGTAGATCAACATATTTACATAATGAAAATGAAATTTGCCATGAAACCTTTCAAACTAAGTTGTAATTAATTAGGATGTGAAACTGCCAAGAGAAAATACATTTAAAGCTGATGATTATAAATAGATGGAAGTCCTCCCACAGTTGCCCCCGCAAAAAGATATAAAGCAGCTAACAAAAGATGACCCTAAAGAATAAGTCTACCTTGTCCTGAACCTAAACAATAAACTTCCACAAAGCAAAACCATTACATCTTTGAAAGTATTGCCAAAATTAGGATTGATGCTGTAGGTCAGTAAGACGTAGAGAACAAACAGCAGCTCATTAATGCAGAAGTAGCATCTTTCCCTCAAGTAGAATACACTGCCAGCCTGGTAATGCAGTAACAGTGCTGCCGCTATTGCGGACATTAGAACAGGTGCCTTATGTTAAAACTTGTCAGAAATATCATATGTACATAAGTACAAGTAGTAAAATTCAGGATGTTTGTTTCTCAAACTTCCAGGGTGGTAGTGGGCTTCTGAAATAAGGGGTTACATTTATTAACATAACGATGAGTATTCAGCTTTCAAAGTATCAGCCCATTACATCAACTTTGAAATGTACGCATAAAGAAATGACACTCAGATCACTGAATTCAGACTTACTGAAATCTATATATATATAAAAATACGAGCTCTATATTTGTATCTTTTCGTGACCGTTTAACTTCATATCTTGAAACAGTGCATGTGGGAGAAATTAGGAAGAGAAAAAGCTATACTCTTCCAAGAAGACTGAACAATACAATGACTCAAAAGGAGTTCCATAATGATTTTTCCATTGCCTTTTTAACCTACTTCTGCTTATCATATACACCCAACTACATATACACCCAACATCAAGACTGATTTTGCAGGATCTCTCTCAGAGAATACTCTTTTGCTAAGTCAAACCGTGGACCAATTTCTCACTCAGAGATACTTATTTTATAGATACATATCCTAACTCATGGCCAAAGCGATAAGAAACGGTAAACACAAAATAAACCTGATATGCTGAAATTCAGTAGTGTAAAGCCCCCAATATCCCTGTTCACCTACCCAGTTCCTTAGTGAGCAATCTCTTGGAGGACAATTTCTAAAAATTTTAGAAAAGCAACACCAAAAGGATGGAAAGGCAGACTAAGAATCTTACCTGTTGTTGTGATAAAGCAGGTAATGATTTTAAGAACACAACAATTTAAATCAAAGTATCCAAATATGTTGGAGGTAAGTGTGATCAGAAGCGCATCAGTTTCAATGAACAGAAACCTCTTTACTACTACCTTTCCCATTTTAATACACTTCAGATGGGAAGGGACATCCTGTGCTGCAATTCAAATCTCCAAAGATACTGTGGTCTATGGTTTGAACAGGTCTCTCCTGTATACTCTTGCCAGCATGCAATAGTATGTGTTATGTGTCAGGCGGATACACACCTGGCATGCTGGGTCATTCAGTGGTGGTAAAAACAGGGCTGCAACCTAGTGCTGAGGAGTGCATTACGTAACAGGTAAGACTAGACTGCCTTAGGTGACTGGGAAGGACTCCCCACAAATGCCTGCAAAGCTACAGCATCAGTGCCCTTAAAGATCTACAAAATCCCCTCCTTTGCAAACGCCTTGCAAGAAGAGGCAAATACTCCAATGTTACTCTCTATCATAACGCTTACGGCATCTCCTTTTATGGTCTTAGCTGCTGGCATCCAATTGACTTTTCATATTTTCAGAACATCACCTTTTGGGGATAGCGTTTTTCCCCTTTTGTTCTGGCCTCTGTATGAGGCCTACTGTCACAAGGTATATAACAATCTCTTGATTCCATGGCCAAACAAACATACAATAAAGGCAAAGCAGGAAAATAGGATATTGCTTTAAAGAAAGCATTGGCTCTAGTTATACCCAAGACTTACATTTCCTAAACTAGAGAAACGAAGTGCAAAAATTACTTACGCTTAGTTATCTATAGCTCTCCTCCGAGGAGAAAGAAAAATAATTGCAGGTTAAGAGAATTTTAAGGAGCCCTTTTATTCCAGGATAGTGTCACAGTGTTCATGGGGGAGCTGTTTTAAAATCTTTCGAGATTCCCTGTCTTTGCGGGAGTCCCCCTACTTTCATCACTCTGCAGCGCCCTCCTCTGGGACTTGTCAAGGTCCTTCAGCTCCTGATTCATACTAAAGCCACTACCATCACTGAAGAAAGAGTGAACTCCCATCCCTGGAAGCACTGCACTGCCAGATTCCAGGAAACAAATGTAAGGAGGAAAAAAAAAAAAAGAAAAAAAGCCAATACCAGTCAATCCTGAACACAGAGGCTTCACTCCTTCAAAGACTATGTGTAAATTACAGTCTTCCTGGATCTCTTTGCTTTTTTCTGATTCAGCAAAGTTTCCCTCAGAGCACTCAGGCAGGCTTTGTAGCTGGCTCCACTGCCAGCTCCTGACAGTCCATCTCTGCCCCCTCCCCTCAAGCCCAGCCAGCTTCTCCTCTTCCAGCTCCCCAAATACCCTGTAGCCGAAGCACAGAAATCTTTTACAGCCTGGAAGAGCTCCTCAGATTCCCTGCATCTGAGGTGAGGTTGGCACAGACACAAAATACAATAAGCCTTATTTATAGGGCAGATTAAAGCCTGCGGTAGCTATAAACAAAAAGGGGAAAAGCTTTAATTTCCTTTTCTTTTGTTACATGAATAGGAAGGAAAAACAAAAAAACGAAACAAAAACCCCACTTTCATGCGGCCACAATCAGTTTCCGGACATTTCCCCAGTTGTCACAAATTAAGCAATATTCTGCTAGACATGGTATCGGTCTATATCCTCTCTCTCAGTGTCAGTCCATCTACTGAACTAACAGACGACTACTTAGCTTAAGAAAAATAACACTGGTAATAACAGACAGTAACAATTCCCTGCCTTCTAGGTTGGTGGGGGGGGCAGAGGGAGATTATTTCAATAAAAAAGGTTAAATAATTTGCTTTTATGAATCGTCCTCGACTGAGGACCTAGAAATCAGGAATATTTCAAGACTTCTTGCATTTTATCATATTCCTTCAGACATCTTCACAATTGTCAATAATCTTCTCATTTGAATATGAACCTGCAGAAGAAGATATCTCTAAAAGGGACAAACCTCCCATTAGAAAATAATTTTTTTATTTCTCATTAAGAGATTACATTTGGCACTTCAGTATATACCGCATGTAGTTCAATACATGTTCTCGTCAAACAACCATCTATTACTTGCTCAAGCAACTGTGTTCTGGTAGGTCTCTGAGAAAACTCACGAAACCTGGCAATCTTTACATCTTCTTTTTTTTTTTTTTTAAACTGGATTCCTTCATTAACCTCTAACTATGCCAGCAGGGGGTGAGGTGGAAAACTTTTAATTTTAGTTGATAACTACATTCATAGCTGCTACGGGAGGTATCTCTCAGTATTATAAAAGTTATCTGTCTCTCTGGTTATGTCATCTTTATCATCAGAACTATAAATAACAAAATAGTTCAGAATTTACAAAAGCCTGTAGAGATGACACTGCAATTGCTGTAACAGATCACTGGTCTATTTAGCCTAGTGTCAGCCTCCAATAATGAGCAGTACTAGCTGCATCAGATGGATGATGAAATCAAGAAAAAAATATCCTGCGTACACACACAAGAGTCTTGGAACTAAAATTTATTTTTTAATGCTCCTAGAAAACGTTCTTTCAAAAAAATCTAATATAAGTTGCATTTATTTTCCTGATCCATTTGAAAATAATTTTTAGAGGTTACATATATGGCACATTTTTCAGAGCTTAGTTAAGAGAGCCCTGTAAAAATAGTATCTTTCTATCCATTTTAAGCATCTTTTCAATTTAATTCAATGTCTCTGCTCTCATGTTGCGATGACAGAGGATTCATCTTCTTCAGACTACTTGTTACGTTTTGTATTTCTGTCACCTTCCTGTAACTCATCTTTTTTAACCTGAACAGGCACAACCTTCTCATTCACTCCTTTGATACAATTCTTACCAAATCCATACTTTTTTTGCATCTTCATATACTGCCTCTACTTATTTCAAATGTCTTCCAATACATGATGACACAAAACAAACAATCCAAATAATGGCAGTATTGCTCATTTTAAATAGCCATTATAATATTTTCAGTATTATTATCTATATATCCAGTTTTCCTTACCAACTTATCCAATGACCTGCTAAGTTTGACATCCATTTACTATGGCATCACTGCAGGAAACAAAAGAGCATGACCTTTCCCTTGCAGAGCTCCAGCTTCTCATTCCTATCCCTTCCTTCTTCCCACTGTCCCAACACAAGCACTTATGCACCTGTGGAGCAAACTCGATCAGGGAGCTCATTCGACAGAAATAACCCAGAAAGAATTACTATGTCTTTTCTTTTTTGGTCAGGTTACATTAAGTTGGGTGGTTTCCCTGATCCCATTCACAGCACAGCCACACGAGCAGCTGTGCCAGCACACCTGCTGAGGTGTGACTAAACAGCAAGGCAAGAGCAATAGCGTAAGCTATTACTGGCATTAAAGACTTTGGATCATGAAATCACACACAAGTCATCTCTAACTGACTCATACAACTGCATTGCACTTGCAAACTTGTGCGTTACAAACTTCTCTTCCAGCCATTAACATTATTCTTTACACTTGGAGAAGATGACCTTACAGACCAGGAAGCTCTGCGAGGATAACTTTTAATTGTTTCATCTCTGGTAATATAATTTGCTGTGACAGGTTAGCTCCATTTGAGAAGAGGAGTCAGGAGAAAACTTTTATCCTGAGGAAGTCTGCTGGGAACGTCCAGTTGGCGAAAATAACCAACCAATCTTTCTTTCCCAATAGGATGAATTCCTAAAGCGCTCACAATACTTCCGGTAGCCTGACTTTGATCAGTTTATAACCTTTCCGATAAACACCTAACATAATAAATTAAAGTTTTAATCCTGCACATCATCTACTGTGAACGTGCACATCGAGACCCAGGCTGTCCTACTGACTCCAACTGGAAACTGAACAGGGGGAATGGAGAAGTAAGAGCTTATGAGGTAACTTCCAAGATTACTTACGCATTCTACAAACGCTTCAGTGACTTTCTTGGAAAGTCAGTATGAGTAAGCATTAAAAGACCAGACCATAAATAAGCCTTCTTTTTAAGCAGTTATATGCACATACATCTGTACATACAGCTAAAAGTTGACGCTAGAAAAGCTGTGCGGCTTGTTATAAAGCAAGCATAGTGAATTGGACTTTTGACTTATAGATCCTATTTCTCCATTTGGGGATGCAAAGCAGAGTACCTACTTTATGAAAGATGCTATACAGAAGTATACATCTTAGTCTTGTATTTTATCATTTTCCACATGAAACTAATATTTTGCAAGTTATTTTTGCTCTCCAAAGATGTTGTTTTTAATTTTACCGACCTTTAAGAAGTTATCTGCTGTCAGCAGTGCAATCTGTTTTTCTGATACCTGATTTTCCACATACCTGATGGCAAAAAAAAAAAAAAAAGAACACAAAAACTATACCATAAAGAATATCTAAAAATTATAGGATTAACAAGTTTGAAAAGTTTATGCTGCTGCAAGGATTTACTCAGAAAGATTCAGAAAGCAACGGTGAGATCCAGCAAGTTGTAAGGCCACTACAAAACCCAAGAGATGTGCTTCAAGTCAGCTCAACAAGCTGAAAAGTGATTTGTGGCAATTTGTCAAAACAACCTGTTTCTGTACTAAGGAGGGAGCGGGGTGGGGGAGTTCAAGTGATGCAACAAATTACACACCACAGAAACTATATTCTCTAAACTAGAAGATTAAGGGTTCCTGAAATTACTTGGAATTGTTCTCCTTCTGATGGATTCACCTTTGCTATAGGAACATATAAACAAGTGATATACACTTTTCACAGTGCTAAATTTACTGATTCCTTTTATATTTTTTAAACCTGACTGAGCACAAGACTGTTCAAAAAACTTCCTTCCCCTTTTACCTTCTAAAGGAGGGCAGCCTTCGAACGTTTTCACACTGACTATGTGATAAAGAATTTACTCTCTTCTTAGCTTCTACCAGTTGACAACACAACACACTAAGGGGTTGAGAATAGAAATGTTCCACAATACAGAGCTAGAAAAAAAGAAAAAAAAGGAAAAAAAAAAAAAGCAAGAATCAGTAATGTTTATGAAAATTCATCCTCCTTGCTATGTCTACCCTTTAAGGTTTTCTTGTTACTAAAGAATATATGCTACAATAGTAGTAATGGCATTCCTTTAAAAATAATCTCAATTGCAGTTCATAGTTATTCTACCAGTCACTACAGGTTACTGATTATTCAGTTTTAAATAGAGTCACATTATTACCTTTTTTGCTGTATGTACTATTCATTAGCTCATTTTTCACCCTCTTACCTAACAATAGCTATAGCTTGTCAAATATTTTTAGATTCACCTATGAAAATCATTGCACTTTAGATGATATATTCAGCTCCAATATTCACAAACAGCAAAGAGTATCTTTCAAGATATGAAAAGCAACTACAGTACAAAAGCAAACTTATCATGTGTCCTCATTTCAGTTTGTATTTCATGTACACAAAAATACACTGCTAATAACTTAAAACAAACGCTGCCAGAGTAGAAAGCCACCGTCAGAAACGATAACGTCACTCCTGGACATAACTAAGATGGTGACCTCTTTTATGTATCGCTAATGAATTCTGAACTTCTGAAATTGCTTCATCGTTGAATAGTTCAACGCACAAGGAAACAGCCATAGGCTGTCGGAGCTAAGACTTTTCTTTCCACATCAGGTCAATGGAGAATCATTAAATCCTAGAAACTTTTGAACTTTTGAATCCCAGATCTGCTCTGGCAGATCTGTCTGCAGGAAGAGGTACTACAGCAGGAGTGTTTCTCCAGCCCCATCATGTGAGGAAATGGGCACGAGAAACTGCTGTACAGGCTACTCATACCTCAAGAAATTCAGTTCAGATCACAAAGACCTGGTACAGAGGATCAGAGCAGCAACAGGGTACACATCCAGCTGGGGGAGCTCTGCCAGGGCAGTTAAAAGCTACAAATCAATATACAGAAAATGTAAATATTTCTACCCTGTATGGAAGGTTCTCCTTTTTAAAGTAACTTTAAATAGTTTTTGCAGCAGAATAAGCTAACTTTTAAATGCTTATGACCTGTCCTACAGGTTTTCCTTTAAAACTTTAACAAAGAAATATCCACCTGTTCACAGACCTGAGCTGTTTTCAAAGGTTGTTTTTCCATTACATTCAATTACAGTAAGATCAGGATGGAAGAAATCTTCCAGTGACCAATAATCATACTCCTTTTTCACGAGTCACAATTTGAGTTCTCATTAGCATTGCCTACCTGAAATCCTTTGATGAAATTCTGGACAGAGAAATCATGGTACAAGAATATGTTGATGAGAACCTGCAGAACTTTCTCACTTAGTTTAAAGGGGAACTGAGTTGTTAGAAGCAGCTAAGGGAGACAAAAAGAAAAAGTAGCCATAGCAGAAATTCTTTCATAAATTCAAATCCAGCAAAATTCATACATGCAATTTAGTACAAGCTTCAGTATGTGTTGCCATTCAATTAAATGAGATACTAAATACATTGTCCATGTCTGAAAACAATGTTTACTTCTAATAGAGTATCTGTGCAAAGATTCATTTTCAGCTGATTTCGTCACACTTTTTTGTAAGTACCTTTTACTAATTATACAGTGTTTTGAACTTAGTTTTTCTTGAGCCCATTTTTGTATTTTCGTTTAAAATTATTAGCAGTAGAACAGAAATTGTCATAACAACAGGAATGCTACTACTGTCTGCATACATGATTGTGATTTTGGAAATGCTGCAGAAAGAAGCGTACCAAGAATCATGCAGGCGTAGTGTCCACATTACTTGACTGTTGAGGTAACTGCTATTTCCGACAAGGAGCAGAATTCAGCGTGAACTGAATTTTTCTATGTTTAAAGCAAAGCTATCACTGAATTTTTCAATGTATAAAGCTATTCTCTTCTGGAACAAAGTGAAGATTAGATCAAAGCACCGCTTTAATGAAGAGGTGGAAATGACAAAGTATAATGGTCCGAATATATATGCATACATGTCAATGCAAATGAAAGATGAAAGCAGGTGTGTGAACGTGTCTCAATGCGTGAAGAGGAAGCTTTCGCTGTTAATAAGTTACTCTGCAGTTGTGAGGAGAAATATCCAAAATACTCAGCTCTCAGAAACATATTCCATTTCAGATACTACAGATAAACCTACTTTTATAGGCCACCCACATACATTGTACTTGAATATACACACTCCTTCCTCCATCTAGAAAGGGAATTACCTTGTCAATTATAGTAGAGAGGTGCTCCTTACAGGAAAGGGACTGGAAAAGCTCTATGCACAGCAGAGAAGAAACAGAGTGAGGAAGTAAGCTGTGGATGATCATTGGAGATGTAGCAATTCCAAAAATCAGTACTAGAGGTAATTCACGGATATGCTGACTAGACCACGATGGGACAAGAGAGAAGAAGATAACAGTTACGTCACTGTGTTTATTTGATGATTCCCTGATGTTCTTATTACAACACTGAGCTCAGACAACATAGCTGCAGAAAATGCTAAAAGACTTGCTGGGAGTAAAGACTTTTTAGGTGGGGTAAAATAAAAAAGAAAGGAAGCTATACAAAACACTAAAATAGAAAAAGCAAATGAAACTGTATTTTTCAGAATTCAAATTTCAGGAAGTAACATGAAAAACATCTTCCTTTCAGTAATAGTATTACTGTAATGGTCTCATTTTGTCAAAAATATATTCAGAAAACTGGATCTTATCAATTGATTTTAAAAAATATCCACTAGAAGAGACTTTTATGCATAAAACAGTTAACAGTCTCAAGAATATTTACAAAATTTACACCGTTTATTCAATATAAGAGATGCAAAAACCTTCTCAAGTTCTGTATTTCCCCTTGTACTTAAAATTTTTAAACTTCCCCAGATTCAGTCTTCCTCTTCAGATAATTTTAGCATATGCTTTGAGAACTGATAACCAAGACTGAATGGTGCATTGATTTGCAACAGCATACAACATCTTTAAGCAAAATTCAGTATTTTCAGCATTATTTTTTCTTTTACTGGAGTTTCAAGGAAATACAACTTCTGTTAACTTAAATCTCTTCCAGGGTAAAACCAACAAATTGCTCCTTTTTTCTTTGTTTACACCCTAGCCAGTTTTTAACTTTAAGTGTTTCAACTGTCAACCTACAACTACTTCATTTCTCTTAACTCCTCAACAATCCTTCCTAGACACTTAAACAAAAAAACCTGCTAAACTTCACATATTATTACTATCCACTGTTGGCAACCTCAAAGAATTCCAACAGAGAGAGAGAGAAACTCAATCTTACTATTAAAGAAAACAGAAAAACCTCTCATATTTATCTACTTCATCTTTATTATTTAAAATAGCACATTTTACACTGAAATGCAGAAAATAAATCTAATCTTTAGGAATTTCCCCAATATCTTTTCAAAGTACTATGCAACCCTGCCTAGCTTCTGTTCTATCCATTTTCTACCTCATTTTAATAAAGATAACTTTTAGTTACCCTGTCATTTGAATCTTCTGGAGTTTTTTTTGTTTCTTTAATAGAGACAGCCTATTTATTTAAAACGTATGTTTCCAAATAGTAGCCTGTGACAGACCTGAACTGCACTTCATCTATGTTCAACCACGTGCTTGCGGTTAGGCATTTATCCTTGCCACAAAAAGCAAAACAAAACACAACATTTAAAAACAATTAAAACCTTGTTTCCTCCTGCCCTACAGCCTAATTATGTTCAGATAACTGTAAATTTCTGATTTTATTTCCTAAAATGTTCTCCAGGGAACCTATCTGCCAAATTTGAAGTAGAAAAGACTTTCATTGCGGTCTCACAGCAAGAAAAATTACCTAGCCTTGTTTAAGGGTAATGTTATGTGTGTACGCTGCAGCGGAATTAACTCTATGACTGCAGCATGGATCCTGCTGCAACTGCAGTGCCAACTTGGCGACTGCGTATAAGGTGTTCTTTCTGGAGAACAGCATGGAATCTTGTTTGCAAAGCTGGAGATAATATTAAGGAAGACACTACTAAGGAAAGACAGAAGCACAGAAGCACTTGAAGTGGGCAGCTATTCGTTACAGGTCCTGGCCAACACGCAGAAAATCTGTGGGCAAATTTTGTACACTTCTATTAGTAAGCTGAGTGACCTTTTCACAGCGCTACATCAATAGTCATACAAAAATATACTCAGATCTAGAAAAAAACATTAAAATATCTGCAGACGAAAGACCTAGGCGTCTTAGAAAATAAGACTCATAATCACAAATGTTGTAAGAACTAGTACCAATAAATCCGCTTATGTAAACAGTTAAATTAATAACCCAGTGTACCAATCCAGCCCTTAGGCACTCTCCTTCAGAGTCCCAAGTTAGCTTTAGGCATATTTATTCCCCCAACTTAATAAATGCAGCTGGTCAATCACTGCTGTAGATGAGCAGCAGCAGTATCTGATACCAGCTCTCAACTGACAAAAGTCTTCTCATTGTTATACTTCAAAAAGCTGCAACTAGAAAACGAGTAAAAGAATAGAAGAACAAAACCTCAGGTCACATTACCTGCTGATGACTATGAAGTCTTGGAGTACTTTAGTGGTGAAACTTTCCATATCTTTGAAGACAACCACAACTGGAGGAGATCGCAAGTGTCTGGAAGAAGTTCTTTTTTTGCTTGGAGTTTCAGAATCTGTTTTCTTTAAAGCCATTGGTTATAAGTTATAAAAACAGAAGACAGGAAAATAAAAAGATTGAACCACATGTCTCTAATACTATAACACTCCAAAGCTACACGACTGACTGTTTGCTATGACTGTATTTGTAATTAACATCTAGAATTGTTATTTTTGTTTCCTCTATACGGCATAGCAGGAAGTGCCAAGAATGGATGAAAAAAAAAAAATCCCTCTTTTCAACACGGACAAGGATAGCGCTACGGGAGAAAACTGGTGAAATTCTGCTGGGACTAAGGAGGAAGATACGTAGTTGGGTACACAGAACTTTCTGGTTTCTCCCGTATAATCAGAGCATGTACTAACTGAATTTTTCTTCAGCACACTGCTCCAATGAAGTCATAAAATGAGTTCTAGCTTTTATTTGACGTTGAAACAAAACTCGAACAGCATTCATCATTAGCTTTATTACATAAAAAAGATACAAAAAACATTTAGAAATCATCTTCTCCCTCCCTGTCAATATACTACAGGTTGCAGATGACATACTGGCACATCAACACTGATATGGTGCCTTTCCCCCAGATGGCTGTTCTTAAAGTTCTGTTTTGATAAACAAAACATCTCAGCACTCTTGAGAGCATCCGTCATGATGTTGACACTGCATTTTAAGCTTCCGGTTCCAATGGAAACGTAACATAAAACAGTACTTTTTGTCTGTTTTTCAGGATTCTGACAAAACAGCAGACATTCATAACTCATCACAAACTAACTCCACATTTGTTACAGATGTTTTTATATTCAAATCAGCTCAGTTGTTTTTTAGTATTAAATGAAAAGCTACCTTTGGCATTTCTTTCATTACTGCATATAAACTTGAGTTATTCAGTTTGTTTTCTAGAAGAATCTAAAGGTCAGTCATTTCTGTAAAGCAGCAATACAAAAATCATACCTTTGTTATATTCTCATACCAGCTGATAAGAGAAGCCATCGAACAACGTATTCTGTTCTGGGAAACCTGAATATAGTCCTCCTCATCCGATGAGTCCACGTCTATATAACAGTTCATCAGCTGCCCCATCAACTTCTGCATCAGATTTTTTATGCCTTCACAACACATTTGTAGACACACAGTGAAGAGACATTTGCTTAGTTACATAGAACTGTAAATCTCCAAACCCGTTCTGCAGAAAATTCCCCCAAGTTCCTACTTCTTATTTTTCACTTTTACTCTATTTCTCTCTCAAGATTACTCATCTCACACGCTCCAGGAACCTTCAAAGTATTCACAGTATGCACGCTGTAAAGGCAATAAAAAATTACCCTGTCAATTTGCCAAGATAGCACCAATTCAGGTAAGATGTGGGCCATGTACCTTTCCTAGACTCCAGCCACATGATATTGGAGTGACCTAAAAATGAGAAGACCAATCAAGAGGTCTGGGAATGCCACCATGACTAATTTTCATCTTTTTATTTAAAGAATAAAAAGGAACTGGTGGGGGAGATGTTATTCTATCTATTGCTTTCCTGAAATAAAGTGACTGTAAGCATTTAAAGAGCAGAATGCATACATCCCCTATCTGATCAAACAAGAGGCAAGCCAACCTGCAACATCTACAAGCAATATGTTATGCAGCATGATCTTGACATTGAAATACTACTTAGTGTTAACATAAATTTTCATTACTTTAAAACAGAATTGGACTTCTCTTAAAAATACAGTAGGCATTACTGCTACATTAATAGGGGACTGAGCAAATCTTAAGAAAGATTTCAAGATCCCTCCATCCCATTATTCTTAGATTTAGTGACAAAAGCTAGAATTTCTAGTTAATTGACAGCATATTCAGATGCAGAAGTAAAGCTACTGCAGTATTTACCTGGGCAATCTTTGGCTTGCAGCAAGGCTACATAAGGAGTAATGTTATTCTGAAGGACTTCCGAGAGGCTTTTAAATGTCAAGTCATGATCTGTAACATTTACACCTAGAAGAAAAAGAATGAAGCGTGTTTTTCCTGTGACTTGTGACTACAGTCAGGGAATGATAAACTGAACAGCAGACAAAACAGAAGATACCACAAATATTCAAGAAAGGAGTCAAAAATCATCTATGAGGAAAGATAAAAACTAGCACAAGGTTAGAAATACAAATTAATACTAGCTGATTTAAAGGAATCTAGGAAACTCTGTCAAGATCACTCTTCTGGTAGTTTTCTTTTTGTAGGAAAGGTTTCTCAGGGGTGCAAACCTACAGGGAATAGCATTACTTTTCTGACTTCTAACTTCCCTGCCACTCATCCGCTGAGAAGTTATCCACAGTCATCTAAGGCCTGCAGACAAGAAGCTGAAAGTCATCTGCTCTAAAAGCAGTGCAGACACCTGAGACCTGGATCCTCACAGGGCTTATGTAAGCAGGAAAATTACTATGAGTTAGTACTAACTACAGTCTGAATTTATCATGAGTTACTCAGCATTTACTCCCTTTGTTAATATCCTTAGACAACCAAGAAAAGGACAGGCCTCGCCAGAGGGCAATACGCCACTTCTTCTGCAGAGTCATTCAGAGCAAGAACCTCTCTCCCCACTAACTACAGAAGGAGACTAATCTCCTAGGCTTTCTTAATGGTCAACTGATAAATCTGGAGCACAGGCCTCTAGGTTCCCTAAAATGATAGTGAAACTGCAATCAGGCTGCATTGAACCAGGTTTAGGATTACAGTGCCAACCATTCAACAGAAGAAAGGGGGGGGAAAAAAAAACCCGAAACCTTCAGAACATCACTATCTTCAGTAATAAGATCTTCAGCTATCTTTCTCATACTATGCTTTTTCTTTTCCAAGATAAGGATGTCGCTTTCTTACATCTAAGATGAATTGCAAGAACCAACTTATTAACATACATCAGAAATACAGAAGCTGTATAATCCCATAGTTAGTCAGAGAAACCACCAAGAAAGTTAGTGACAAAAATGGCAATAGAACCAAAGCATCTCCAGTGCATCAGGAAAAAACCCGAATCACTACCTGCTGCCTAAGACAGCCCTTTAGGGAAGCTGTTCCCTTATAGCACCATAATGCACATGGACAAAAGAGAAGTAAGTTAAATCCTGCTTCCTTCCCTGAGCCCACCAATCTCTTCTGTTAATGTTTCTGAAGCTTACGTTGCCATAAGTCAGCAATATAATTTCCTTTCATGCCTGTGTCAAATTTAAGCAACCCTAAGAGAGCTGATGGACATAAAACATATCTTTAAAAAAATTACCTAAAACAAGAGCTGCAGTAGGGATTTCTCTGGACTTCATCCGACAAGTCCATTCTGTTGTCTTCTCTTGGAACTCGGAATGAGACCGTCTTAGAAAACTTACTAGGTTATCAAATAACTGTTTATTCAATTCTTCTTGTATTTGCTGTAAACAGAGAGTTTTTTTAATACAAATGTTGAAACTTAGGAATATCTTTCTTTTCCCGCCCCTTTCCTGCATGACTTAAAAATCACAGGTAAAATTTTAAACAACACTATCGCTACCTGTGAACTATAAATATGCTAATTTATTCACTGCGTGGCAGGCACAGACATTTCCTGCTACTTTGGAATTTTCGGACAAATGCCTCGGCAATAACTCAGACAGCAAGCGCATCCCTGCTCAACTGCATTGTCACACAACAGGCTTCAAAGGAGGAAAAAAAAAATCTCACACTGACAAAACGTAAGTGACAACAGGATGAATAAAACCATATATAGTTTCTGGAAGAGTCTTCATGCAGATCTTCTTTATTTCCTCTTGGCTTACAAAACACCTGCAAACAGTCAGGTCCTCTAATTCAAAATAGGAAAAACAAACAAACAAACAAATACGACGATAAAGGAAAGCATTCGGTATACGTTATAGGAAAAAATACTAAACCACATGACTGTCTCATATGCTACGCTGTCCTTTGCCCTTCAGGATGATTTACGCACAAGAATATATTGGGGGGGAGGAGGGAAAAAAGAGGGGGGAAGAGATACTACTCCTAAAGGCAGATCTACACTGGCAGAATTTTCTATTTCTTTTATTATGCATGTGCATTTGAAATTCGCTGTCTCAAACTCAAAATATCCCTTCTACTAGAACAGACAAGAAAATTGCACTCTAAACTTCAGGATATCAGTCTATGCTCTAGAACACAGATGTCAGAAACGAGATTGAACCCCTGTCCTGAAAACATCATAATCAAGATTTCTTAGCAACAAGAAGGGACATACACAGCTGTGAACCTGATTTTAAATGAGCTTGCAAAGGTTGTCCTAACAGTATGGATGAAGCAGCTATCAAAGGAGCTAAGACCACATCTCCAAGTCTGCTCTCCTCAACAAACGATATCACTACAAACAAAATAATTTTACTCTCTTCATCCTCTACTGATTCAAAATATTCTTCTGGCCTTTTTGATGTTCATTGCCCATCTGTGAATTCACAACTGATACATTTTTTTCCTGAGCTGTCATAAATATAAATGTACATGACATTTTAAAACGAAGAGCTTGTTCTACCAGTTTTATTACAATATCATAATAGCTTCTCTATTACCATACACCCCCTAACAATCATCGGGTATCTTTACCTTGAGTTTCAAAATACTATTGTACAAGAAATTTTTACTGAGCCAATCTAAAAAGATTTTTATTGCTTACTTTCCATGGACACAGTATATTTCTCCCAACGTGCATTTGTGAATATGGAATTCAGTCTGTCACAACGCTACACATTTACTCAGCTTTAAAACCCTCAGTCTTTTCTTGTCAAAGCAATTTTGAGGGAGTTTTTTTTTGCAAATTTTAGTCTTAGTAATCAAGCTTTACACTGTCAATGTTAACTAAAAGTGGCCCTAAGTATGTGATTTTTACAGAGTATACTATTAGTAGGTTGCTGCTGTTTCGCAAGAAGACCATTCCCTCCTGTTTCGCAAGACCACCACTCCCTCCTGCTCCATCTTCCTGATTAGTTTCTAATCCATAGTAGCACCTTATTTTTTGAAATACAGCCACCTTGCTTCAGCAATGGGTCCCTGTGAGGTACTTTGCACTGACCTTTTCCAATTACAGCCAAAAATTCCTTCTAGTAATATTTGCTCTCTCATTCTGGTAAGTAAATATGATGACAGAAACCCATAGTAATGACTCCAGTGCTAAGGAGATGAAAAAAGTTAGTTGCATGCGTATAAACCCTAATTTATTTAAAAGAAAGGTATGAAGTTGCTTTGTGTTTTCAGAGCAAAGTTCAGAGTCCAGACTTGCACATACAGCTTTGCATAAAAAATAATAAAAATACCCAACAGCTATCAGATGGGGAAGTTATTCACCCAAGCATCTACTTAACTTGACAACATTAAATTATTAAAAAGCCTTTGATTTCTAATCTTTTACCATTTGATTTGAGAAAGACTTTTAATTACTACAAAGATCAGCCACTCATTTTAGGTGGCTGCCATTGTGGCATCTTCATTACCGATCTGAAAGAGCCTGACCACAGAGAGATGAGAAGTAACCTCATCTTCTGCACAGTGGCACAATCTGTTTGCTTTAACTGTTCTTTACATATAAAGACTCCAGAAAGGATTCATGTGCACAGGCCGTTTCAATGAACGTAAGCCTTCAGGGCATACTTTCTGCAGTCCTAGCTTGCACTTCTTTGACAGTCTTCCAGAAACAATATTGAACTCTTCTGCATCTCAAGGTGATCAACTGATTTACTTGCATGACCATGCTTACTCGGGAAAGTTTTATCTCCGCAAGTTCAACTCTTGCTAAGATACTGACACCTATCTAGGTTTGGTCATGATTATCTGTTGTATGGTCTGCAAATCGGTAGCCGCACATTAGAACTAAAATTACCATACTACAGCCCTGCATGTGCGCTTTGTCCTTCTACCCGGATCCTTGTAGTGCTTCTTGAATTCCTCACCTTACAGGAAGGAAATGTTTCTCAAGGCCCTGAAGGAGATGTATAATAGTAAAAACATTTACAAGGCTGCTGCTCAAAGGACTGCAATGTGGGGATCACAGCTGGGATAGCGCACAACACAGAAACAAAAAAAGGTCCAAAATCAAAGGCAAGCAAAATTCCTGCAGTACTTCTCCTCCTGTTCACGTTGTAAGAAGCCAGCAAGGATGTCATCACTAGATGCCATCACTGCAACACAGTTCACGATAGTCATTCTCTGCTGCACAACGCTCTTAGCCTTACTAAGTACTTGAAGGTCAAAACCTCTTCACTATTCAAGACCCCAGGTAGACAGCAGATGCCCAAGAAAACTGAAAACACACCAGTACAACCACACAGCCTACCAACAAACCATCGGGTAGCACTACTCCATCAAAAAATACCAGCAAACATCTTGCTAGGCTCCATCAGCACACTACTGGAACCTGCAGAATAACGGTCCCAACCAGCAAGTCATACACTTCTCATGATATTCTACCACAGATCAGGTTCACTACATGAGGGTTTGAAGGTTTGAAGGAAAAAAACTCTGGCTGGCTGAAGCCCCATGCAACCTCATCTGACCTCACCGACGACCGTGCTTGAAGCAGGAGTTTGGACTACAGACCTCCTGAGGTCCCTTCCAACCTGAGTTATCACATGATTCTAACAAAAACAATTAACATCTCCAGCCTGCCAGCACTGGGATAAGAGGATGGTAACTCAAAACTTAACAGAAAAATGTCACGGGCATCCAGGAAGCTGGGTGAAGAAAATTCCACATAAAGCAGCAAAAATAACTGCATGTAATCTGCCCTTGGATAAACCAAACTATCACGACAAGGCCCACGTCAACTTGTTAATATAGGATGAACCTTTCATCCATCAGGAGGAGGCAGAACTTCTAGCAGCCTTAAAGAAAACAAATTAAGACAGGAAAGATGATTTTCCAAGTGGCAATGGCCCTGCGCTGGCGAGCAGTTAAGGAGGCTCCCACAATGATATGCCTGCTGCTCTGCAACAAGTCCTTTTAGAACTCCAGGAAAAAACACGTCATCAGCCTGAAAATCCCAAAGCCACTGTTGGCTGTCTGGAAGCACTGTTTCAAAGGCCTTCACACACCACTGCGCCCAAAAAAACATGATCTTCCGGAAGTTGCTGTGGTACGTCTTCTTCCTTGTAGCCCCACTGTGTAGCTGACAAGGCAGCACCTGGAGCAGCTGCCAACATTACCGCTAAAGCTGGTGGCTCACCTAGCAAGCTGAAGCAGTTGGCTGGAAGATACCAAACACAACTCCATAAACTTCTGTGTATTCTGCATAATCAGCAGTACGATGTAGTGCACTGTTTTGCACATCCTGGCTAGAAATGGTTTGAAAAGGGTGCTGATTAAATTGAGTTGGGCTGTAGAACAGTAGGAACAGAATTAGAGGAAGTTCTGAGTTTAGCCCAAGGGTCCAGACTGTAAGCTGCATCCAGCTGGCTCGTACTGTATATCCCAAAACAAACTTTGGAAAAAAAAAAATCTCGTAATGCGTAATGCCCAAGAGCAGGCAGAGGAATACAGAATACTTGCCCAAAATCCTTGACTTTGAATAGATGAGGAAATCCCTGCTGTACAGAAGCAATTATTCATACCGTAACACAAGCCAGCCGGCTATACGGACGCAACAACAGCACGCCATCTAACGCACAGCGATGAGTAGGCCACAGTTCAGTATGAAATAAACTCCCAATCCTACCAGATAAGCCCATTGACACTGTCCATACTAAGTCAATAAAGCTTGCAGCTGAGTCGTTCAGGATTTGACGTCCATGCAGTTGCAGTCACGTATAAGCACTGTGAATCTTGGGCTGCTATAAACTCTGCAACACTGAGGTCAAGAGCAGCCTAACATCCTCACAGGGCTGGCATGCCCGCAACTGAACTGGAGGTAGAAAACAGCAATATGCCAGGAGCTGATGAAAACTATAATCAGTACAAATAGAAGCTTGGAAGAAGCAGCTTGAAGCATCAAAGGCATGTAGCTCTGCGATTAACAGCAATGTATAACTGATGGATTTCTTTTTTAAATGTATTTCCCAGATAGCAATTTCAGTGTCAGTTAATATTTCTGGCTGTCTTATTGCTTTAATGAATTGCTCTTTTAAGCACGTGAAAGAAAGATCTCCAGAAACAAACAAACAAGGAAGCAAGCACCATTGTTACAAATGTAAACTTCTGTTTTAGTATTACTAGCAAGACTCACCTCCGTTTCGGATTTGATCTGTTTCCATAACGACTGACAAGTAGCAAATCGCAGCCCACTATCCTCGGAATCATTGTTTCCTTCTCTGAAATAGTCAGCTGGAAAGACAAAAAGCAAAGACAAGCACAAATAAGATTATGAAAACAAAACATTTTCTGTTGAGAATAAATTCAATCACCTGACTGAAAGAGGAATATCTATCCTTAAAAATATCAAGGGAGATGACTTTTCTCTTAACCAACTAACTGCAGGTATCTGCTAGAATAAGTGAGGAAATAAGCAGAATCTGTTACCCGAGTGTGCAGACAAAAGACAAGAGCTAGCTTCACCTCAAGTCTCAGATAAGCTAAAGGCTAAATCAGGGCAAACAGCCATCATTAAAACAAATTTAAAAAATCTTTCCCTTAAGAAAACTTTGTGATTCAGTCTCCTCTATTAAACGTCCAATCCTCCTTCACTATTACAGCCAAATATGAAGCAGAAAGGGCTTGGAAGGACAGAAAAAATCCATTTCCTTTCCCAAGGAAGATGCAGCTAATACCAATTTCCTGAAAATAATAAGGTATACTGGAAAAGGACTGTTCGGTTAGGTGAGATACGGCTATCTTTTTTTTTTTTTAAAATACATTATCTTGACCAACACAACTATACCAGCAAAGCTTTTAAGTACAAACCAGGCCTACATTTCTGGTTCAACTCTGAATCACTTCTCACTTCTATGCAGGCTTCTTATGAAAAAGGAAAGGAGAAGCAAAATGTCTGAGCTTCACCTAAAAAGCCATTAAGCCTTTAAAATCGGATCCTTTTTGGTAACAGTGCCTATGCACATCTTCTGAACACATCTGGCTTCCCAGGCGCTGCTCTGCCTCAGAGATATGAAGAGTACAGAACCTCTCCGTCTGCTTCCAGCTAAGAAGCAAAGGTCAGACTGGAAGGGAAATGGAAGATTGAATAGAAAATAAAATAACTGAGTGAGGTTTTGCTCATTATGTTTTTTCCTCCCACATTGCAGCAGTCTACATTTCCTCTCTGGAAAAAAAAAAATGCGTAAGGCTTGGAACCATATTTCTACGCTCCCAGCATACATTTAGCAGGCCTTGTATAGCTTTTAAGGTTCGGCTAAGACCGCCTGGAAGGACACAAGGCGTGAAGGCTAAGTAGGCAACTTGCTAACTGTTGCTAGAGGTAGCAACAAACTTAGTTACTAGGTTTTTCTACCTATAAAGACAGGCAAAGAAAAAATTTTACAAAAGAGGTCATTTACTAGCTATTCAGTGAAGAATCAGCTTTAGTTTGACCTCTAGAAAAGAACCAACTGTTGAGCACATAACATTGAATGTATATACATACATATAATTGTAAATGAACTTCCCTCTTTCTCCATTTTCTTTCTCTCCCCTAAACAAACATCTCATTTTTATCCCTAAGAAAATCACTTAAATACATAGCACTTTGATTTTATAGGCCTCAGGCTTTTAGTGGAATCAAACCAAACAAAAAAAAAATCCACATCATTTATGTATTACACTAAAGAATAATATTCTTTTTATGCTATTAAAATTCAGACAGCAGGCACAAAAGGCCTTTGTGAGATGCAAAAGTATTATCAAAAACAACTAAAATTTCACACTTGCCAGGTTTGGGCTTCCAAACTGGAAACACGCACATTAAAGGAATGCTCATGTAGAATACCATCCTAAACAACTACTTGTCAGTAGTCATCAGATTAGCTCACCTCTACCTGTCTTTTAGGAGTAGTTCAGTCAACTGAACTACTGTTCAGTTACTAAACACTGTTACAAAGTGTTTGCTTATTGGAAAAACACATTTAACAGGATTTACCCAAGCATTATTAATCTTGCAAAAACAAAAACATAATATTCAGTAAAGGGTAAAATTCCAACACAGTTTAAGTGCACAGGTCTTGGTTGTCAGTTTATTTATCTTGCAATAATCTGTAGTGACAGGCTGGGTTATATTTCCCTACCGCTCACTCCCTGAGATACAGGTGTGCCAACTCTCATGGAAAACAATTTTGGATTAATTTTAAAGCAGGTGTTGTAGTAAGTCCCTCTAGTAACGAAAGATCCCGTGGTGATTTCAAAAAATCTGGCTTAATTACTAGCCACCACCCCCTTTTTAAACAACTAGACACAGCTTTTGATAGCTCGGGTGCTGCCAAAAAAAGTTTAACCTGGGAATAAGAACAATAAGTTCCCTGAGCAATTCTCAAATATCAACTATTTAAGCAGCATTATTTGTAGTTGCAGTAAGACTCGGTCCTGTTCAGTCTTTCTCAGATGGCAAAAAGATGCATATACACATCATATATACTTTATTTCCTCCAATCCATATAACAAGGACTAGTAGATAGAAGCCATGAGATCTTCACACATGGCTTTTCTTTATTTTTCTCCTGAAGAGACTTAGGCAAGCCACCTTAAAATATGATCAGTTTTCTGAATGGGCTACCATTTCTGACTAGTACAGCTTGGAAGCAGCTTACTCAGCCTCTTCAGACAGTTTGCTGACTGACAAAGTATCTATTTATGGTAGCATGAAAAAGAACTCTCTTAAATTTTTTTTGTTCTTTTTTTGCAAAGACAATGATAGCAACACTCTGCTGATTGCCTAAGCTGAAAAAACAGTCACACTAGCCAATAACTGACTGAGGTACTTCTGAAGAAACGACAGCTTGCAGCAATACTGACATCAAGGAGCAACAGAAATCCTCAGACAGCTATCTCAGAATGCCAAGAGAATTGAAGCTTTCAGGATTAACCCTTCTAAAGCATAGCAACATACACCAAAATGCACTAACCTGTTTTTGGAGATACCCTTCTCCTCTTGGGACTTGGTTTAAACACAAAGCAGCCCTAGAGAACAGCAAGAAAAATATAAACTTCAAGATGAGCATCAGTCTCACCAGGGCTCTTGAGGCCAGAGGAGTAACTTTATTCCCCTTTAACCTCAGCGTTCCATTAAACCAACAACTTAATTGCTGGCCAATGTCTTAAGGACATCAACTCCAGACGGACTAACTTTCTATACTCGCTCTTTACTTTCCTCTTCCAAGCTGGAAGTAATGTCCCAGCATACTTAAGAGGGGCTTTTCTACTTTTCATTATGTCTTTCAATTCATCTACCAACTGAACAACAGCAGAGAAGAAAATTTAAACTTGTCATATACCTTCACTACGTTTGGAATTTACAGGAAAAGAATCCCCTGAGGACATCTCAATAATTAAGTTCTCAGTAGCGCTTCAGTTAAAAAAAAAAGGGGGGGGGGGAAGGGGGAAGAGCATAAGAGGCTAGGATGCATAGAAAAGGAGATCCAGAATAACACAATGGATGTTGAGCCACTTACAAAAGCATACAACGCTGCCTTGCTACCAAGAGCAACATGCGCATCCCAACTCAAAGTAAGTTTTTAAAGAAGTAAAGATGGTTAGAAGCAGGATGACAAACAGCTTGGAAAAGCATTCAGACAAACGAAGACCCTGCCTCCAAAGAAATCTGCCCAACAGAAACCACGTCCCATTTAGATCTCTGCTTCACCAGGCAAAAGGAAATCAAACATAAATAATCAGCTTTGAATTCTGGAAGATTTTTTCATTTTCCTCTAGAAGTTTTGAAATTTCTCTCTCCTCCCCAAACAAAACACATCTTTTTTCAACAGTTATACTTCCCTGTAGATCAGAAATCATATGCTTCCCTCAACTCTCACTGTGACGTGCTCATGCAAGGGGGAAGGAAACATAAAAAAATCTAAGGTGCATAAGAAGACTGATTCAATCCCATGTTACCCAACGGAGATGCTTAAATAACCAAAGATTAATAAACTCTAAGACAGCAACTACTATTGCAAGAATGACCTAGCGGGAATAAAACTCAGATGTGTCCAATTGCGACCACAGTCTGTTGAGTGACTTTGGACAAGTTCTATCCCTTCTCATACAAATGAGGAAACTGAAGAACATCATCTGCAACAATACTGCCGTCCTCTGAAAAACAGCTTTATGAACTGGAGATCAAAGCTTTTCTAAGTATTACTATTTTCAATTTCTAAAATAAGAATCAGTTAAAAACATCAGTAAAATCTGAAAAGATCTCTCTTAAACCTACAAAAAGAGATCACATTACATTAACAAAGAAATAACTTAACTATGCCCAGCACAAAAGGCAATCTACCTGTTACATTTTATGTTTTTGATGTATTAAATAATTATGAGGATTTTCACATTGTAACTGCATTTGCGTACAGCCTCTGATATTTTCTATTTTACCACAGATATGAACAACCATCTAAAAATTACTGGAGAAAAGGCGTGGTTATTCTATATATTCTAAACATTCTGGAACAATTTCATTATGAAGGCCACTCTTGATTTTCTTTGAAAAGCCATGGCAATCAGGAGAGGTGCCTGAGGACTGGAAGAAAGCCAGTGTCACTCCAGCCTTCAAAAAGGGCAAGGAGGAGGAGCCAGGAAACTGTCAGCCTCACCTCCAGCCCTGGAAAGGTGATGGAGCAGCTGATCCTGGAGGTCCTCACTAAGCACATGGAGGACAAGAAGGTGATCAGGAGCAGTCAGCATGCCTTCACCAAAGGGAAGTCAGGCTTGACCTGATGGCCTGATGGCCTTCTCTGAGGGAATGACTGGCTGGGTAGATGAGGGCAGAGCAGTGAGCAGTGGATGTTGTCTGCCTGGACTTGAGCAAGGCTTTGGACACTGTCTCCCATCACATCCTCCTAGGGAAACTCGGGAAGTGTGGGCTAGACGAGTGGACAGTGAGGTGGATTGAGAACTGGCTGGATGGCCGAGCTCAGAGGGTTGTGGTCAGTGGTGCAGAGTCAAGTTGGAGGCCTGTAGCTAGCGGTGTCCCCCAGGGGTCAGTCCTGGGTCCAGTCTTGTTCAGCGTATTCATCGATGACCTGGAGGAAGGCACAGAGCGCACCCTCAGCAAGTTTGCTGATGACACAAAACTGGGAAGGAGTGGCTGACCCACCAGAAGGCTGTGCTGCCCTTCAGAGGGACCTGGACAGGCTGG